TGTACAACTCTCCTGTGTAGTTCTGAGTGCTATAAAACTTTAGTTTTTTATTTATTTACCTATCAAATTTCTACACTGAACCTCACCTAAGTGATTCTGAGCAGATTACAAGTAAAAATGAAAGTGTTGACTTGTTCCTGTGACTGCCAAATTGTCAGCCAAAATTATGATTGGTAATTTGGTAATTGCCACCTTGCAGCATTCTGGAATATTCTAGATTGGAGAAGGCTGTTCTATATGGCACTGGAAGATCTTTTTGAGCCTTTTCTGGCTGGACTCAGTTATTTCCCCAGGATAAACATCTACCCATCCAAGACTATTGTGGAATTCAGGCAAATAATGGATATAAGTGTTTTCTAATGAATAACAGTATCTTCTAGTGAAATTGTGTTTCTCCTTCGCCAATATTCTCATTATTCTAGTTGCAGATGTTGCAGATTGGAGTTTCATCTTTGAAGATAATATGGGGCTTGATTTTCTGACTGTTTTATTTAAATTGAAAAACTATCTCTACTGTTAAATATTTAGAAGTTAAGCCACAATGGAAATAACCATTTCTTTATTAAAGCCATTGCAAATATTTGGAATTGATTTAACAGAATATTATTCTTTCTGAATAAGAGTCTTGCAGATTGCCTCATTCTTTTCTGGGAAGCAAAACGATTAAATCATCATTTTTTACCAACAGAATTGTGGCATAATCAGAATTAGATGCCCACTGCAAATTACAAAGTTTCTTAAACAAGGGAGAATTGAAGAAGTGGAATAATTTTCCTGCTTATTATTTCTTCCCCTGAAAATCAGTATATTTATTGCTCTTTTGAGATGCACTGTTATTGCATCCCCATATTTCAAAAAGGATGCCATATAAATGTCATTTCATTTTGTTGTGATGCCTGCAATTTTACTCCCCCTTGTAATAAATGATGAGATTAGTTATAAGCAGTCATGTTTTATTTGCCTGACATCTCTTTCTTCTTCTAAATGCAGCCCAGTTATACACATCTGCTTTTTGATTAACGTGCTTCATAGAGGAAGAAACTTTGCCAGTGTGCTGGGTCGAAGAAGAGTCTAATGGCAAACGAAGTTTAGACTAATTTATATGGCAGGGGTTGCAGGAAAGCAAAAATTTTGCAAAAATTTTGCCTGAGGCCAATTGGCATAGACCCTCTATTAGCAGTCCAGCATCCATGTTCTGGCAAGGGCTCTACAACTGACATAGGCTTAATGAATTTTTTTAAATTAACATGGGCTTAATTCTACATGTATCTTCATAATACCTGCATGATTTAATGTCCAATAAGCTCCTAACAAGCCTGTATGGTGAAGGAAGGTTTTGCCTATCACAAAATCTACAAAACTTCCTAAAGAAGCTTTTCTTAATTAGACATGTTGTTGTAGATTTGGATATTAGTACAGCATTTTTGATACTTCTGTGGAATGGCAATTTATAGTAGCACATAGTTCTTTGCTTGATCTAAGGGCAATCTAAATTGCTTCTCTCCTAAACTGTACCCAATTTTTCTTAAGCAGATTTCAGAAATTCTGGTTCAGTTTATAGCGGATTGGCAATAGGCTTGGGATGATGCTCACTCTGGACTATTGACTATTGGAAGACCTGATGTCTTGTTATCCTCTTTCTTTCCTTCTCACCCATGTAGGGATGCAAATCTCATTGACAATTCTGTGTGAACTAATCTACTGTTGCCTGCTTTTTCTTTTTAGGGATTGTCCCTTCCTCACTAGTCCTCATGACTTTCCTTTGATTTCCTAGATATTTGTTATGCATGGATGCCTTTGTATCTGAAATTGTCATTTTCTTCTTTTCTTTCCTTAAAGTAGAATCACTGTTCTGGTGCTACTGTAATCAAAACAATAGGGAAGTTCTTGAGTATCCATTTAACATAATTCTGGAAGTTCAGCTTCCCGTTACTGATTTAATTTGTATTGACCACTGTAATTGTGCAATTAACAGTAGTAAAAAGACTGCTTTACTGTATTATTCAAGCAATTTAATTCCATATGAGAATTAAATTAGATGCCAGCAAAAGATACTGCATAAGAGGAGTGGGCAACTAATACCTGTGGACTTCAACTCCCAGAATTCCTGAGCCAGCACAGAAAATACACATATTCTCTTCTATGAGCTGTTTTGTTGGTCAGTCGCTAAGTTGTGTCTGACTCTTCACGATCCCATCGTCACAGCACACTAGGCTTTCCTGTCTTCCACCGTCTCCTGGAGTTTGCCCAAATTTATGCTCATTATTTTGATCACACTATCTAGCCATCCCATTCTCTGCCATCCCCTTCTCCGTTTGCCTTCAATCTTTCCCAACATCAAGGTATTTTTTAATGAATCCTCTCTTCTCATTAGGTGGCCAAAGTATTTGAGCTTCAGCTTCAGTATCTGTCTTTTGAAAGAACAATCAGGGTTGATTTCCTTTATGATTGACTCATTTGATTTCCTTGCAGCCCAAGGGACTCTTAAGAGTCTTCTCCAGTATCAACAATTCAAAAGCATCAACTCTTCAGCCTTCAGCCTCTTGATTTACAAACACAGCTGAGCCCAAAATTTCTGTTTCTAAGTGAGACGTTTGTTAAGTGAGTTTTGCCCCATTTTATGACCTTTCTTTCCACAGTTGTTAAGTGACTCACTACAATTGTTAAGTTAGTAACACAGTTCTTAAGTGAATCTGGTTTCCCTATTGACTTTACCCCGGGACACTGAAACCATCATAAATAGGAGTCAGTTGCCAAGCCTCTGAATTTTGATCATGTGCCCATGGGGATGCTGCCATGGTCGTAAGTGTGAAAAACACTCACAAGTCATTTTTTTCAGTGCTGTTGTAACTTCGAACAGTCACTAAATCAATTGTTGTAAGCCAAGGTCTACCTGTACTGGGAAAACCATAGCTTTGACTGTCCCAAAGGTGCTTTTTCAAGAGGCAAGTGGACTTTCTGGTTTTTTCTTTGAAGACGTTTTGCTTCTCATCCAAGAAGCTTCTTCAACTGATGAGAAAGGAGAATGCAAAAGATGGCTTGAAAAGCAACATTAAAAGATCATGGCATTCAGTCACATCACTTCCTGGCAAATAGAAAGAAAACAAATGGAATCAGTGACAGATTTTATTTTCTTGGGCTCTAAGATCACTGCAGATAGTGACTGCAGCCATGAAATTAAAAGACTCTTGCTTCTCAGGAGGAAAGCTATGGCAAACCTAGACAGCATATTAAAAAGCAGAGACATCACCTTGCTGACAATGTTCCATGCAATCAAAGCTATGTCTATGGAGATTCTCAGTTATCCACGTCATGGTTGTCCCAAAGGTGCTTTTTCAAGAGGCAACTGGACTTTTTGGTTTTTTTTTTGAAGACGTTTTGCTTTTTACTCTTATCAAGAGATTGTTTTAGTTCCTTTTGCTTTCTGCCATGAGAGTGGTACCATCTGCATATCTGACACTTTTGATATTTCTTCCGGCAGACTTAATTCTGGCTTGTGATTCATCCAGCCCATCATTTTGCATGATATACTCTGCATATAAGTTAAATAAGCAGGGTGACAATATACAGCCTTGTCATACTCTTTTCCCTATTTTGAACCAATGAGTTGTTCCATGTCCGGTTTTAACTGTTACTTCTTGAACCGCATACAGGTTTCTCAGGAGACAGGTAAGCTGATCTGGTATTCTCATCTCTTTAAGAATGTGCCAGAAATAGATGGTTTTCTGAAACTCCCTTGTTTTCTCCATAATCCAGTGAATATTGGCAATTTGTTCTCTAGTTCCTCTGCCTCTTCGAAACCCAGCTTGTGTTTCTAGTAGTTCTCAGTTCACATGCTGCTGAAACTTAGCTTGTTTGATTTTGATCATAACCTTGCTAGAATGTGAAATGAGTACAGTGTAAACATTCTTTGGTATTGCCCTTCTTTGGGATTTGAACATAAACAGACCTGTCACTGTGTTGATTTTTAAAAATTTGCTGGCATTTGTTATGCAACTTTAACAGTATTTCAACAACATCATATTTTAGGATTTTAAATAGCTCAGCTGGAATAATGTGACGTCCACTAGCTTTGTGGTTGGCAATGCTTCCTAAGGCCCACTTGGCTTCATACTCCAAAATGTTTGGCTCAGGGTCAGCAATCACTCCATCATGGTTATCAGAGACGTTAAGATCTTACTTGTATAGTTCTTCTGTGTATTCTTGCCACTTCTTCTTAATCTCTTAGAAAACTCCAACTTTTTGCTGCCATCAAGTGGTCACTGGCATTTTTACAGTCCAGATATAGCAGATCTAGTTTAAAGTAAATCCCTTGAAAAAGCTTATATTTTCTCGTATGATCATTAAATCAGTTCCCAAACTTGAACAAATAATTGCATGTAAGAGTTATTGGATAATTCTTAGTATGTGCCACTCAGCAGAGATTACAGTGTGGTCATGTGAAAATTACCCTAATGTTTATGTTATCCCAGAGCTATAATTGCACTCAGCAATGAACTAAACGGCCACCATCAGTGAGCTGTTGGACAGCATTACTTGGTCTGTTGTGTGGATGTTTGGGTGGTTTAGAGGTGGGGAATTTGTGGTGGGTGGGAGTTTGTTTGGGGATTGTTATGTTGGACCTGGTCTTTGGGTGTTAAGTGAATTTCGTTGTATGGGTATACTGTGTATTTTTATTATTATTATTATTATTATTATTATTATTATTATTATTATTATTATTATTTTAAATTTAGTCTCCTATTTGGTTAGCTCTATGACAAAACATATATTTAGCATCAGATATAAAACCTATCATTCAACTATAATAAATGTTGGGACCTACCAGTGACATTTTCCCAGGTCTTGATGTTTTTAATTATTTGTAACATGTTCTTTATTAGAAGACTGCTTCTCTAAAATTCCCACAGATCTGCAATAAAACTATAATGGTAAATAACAGTTTCCTCATCAAACTAGCATTTCCATGATTTATTTTTTATTTTTTTATTTTTTTGCAGGCCTGTGAAAGAGATCTGCAGTGTGGAAGTGGAACATGTTGTGCCATCAGCTTGTGGCTCCGTGGGCTTCGCATGTGCACTCCATTGGGGCGTGAAGGAGATGAATGTCACCCTATTAGCCATAAGGTATTTGTAAGCAGCCTCAACTAGCTCATGACATGAAGTACTAATTGTCTTTCATGCCAACATATATCTTTGTATTGATTTGTTGATATATATGTATATCAGCTGCTGGAGCAAGTGACATTTTCTACAGGCTTCACATTATTTATCACTTGTTTATTAACATACTTACATTTCAGTTTGCATCTGCAGGGTGCTACTAATCCATTTTATGCATTAGTTGAGAATTCTCCAAAATGTGTGTTTAGATCAGGGGTGTCAAACTCGATTTCATTGAGGGCTGCATCAGGGTTGTGTTGACCTTGGAGGGGGCATGGCCAGGGTGGACATGGTCAGCTCGACATCACTCGTGTTGGGGGTCCTATGGTGGCCCGAGCAGTCTGCCAGCGAAAACAGACTCCCGAACTCAGTTTTTGGCTGCAATAGCCTTCTGCAACCCTCTGCCAACGAAAACAGATCTTGAGAGGGCCGCATGTGGCCCTCCTGAGCTACATTTTCACTGGCAGAGGCACCACGGGCTGGTCCTTCATTGTTTCCAGGACAGCTCCATGGGCCAAATCTAAACACCCGGCTGGCCGGATTCAGCCTCGGGCCTTAAGTTTGACACCTCTGGTTTAGATAGATTAGGCCATATAAATCTAAGTGTTTTACAGCTTCTTTGTGCATTTAGTTGCTAATCTTAATTGATTGCAAAGTTTATTATTAACATTATTTATATTTTCTACTTTCTTTAAAAGGTTCCTTTCTTCGGAAAACGGCAACATCATACCTGTCCTTGTTTGACAAATCTCATATGTTCTAAATTCACTGATGGTCGATACCGATGCTCAATAGACTTCAAGAACATGGATTTTTAATGAAAAGTGCTTTGTGACCTTCATACCTTTAAATCCACAGCATGTTAAAAAGTGTTGAAGATAATTGTCAGTTTACACAAATGACTTAAATGGGCTGTCAGTAATTAGTAATTTCTGGATGTGCAGATATTGTTCCTGTAAAACAAATGAAGAGATTCCAGAACTGGGATTAAAAATGTAAACTTGCAGAATGATTTATGTGAGCTGGGTATATTTTTGTAGTTCTGGAAACATCTTTATTTATTCCAGAATATCTTTTTAAAAAACTAGGTAGTTAATATTACTGTTTCTGGAAAAATGATAGATATAGATTAGATAGCTAGATAGATTAGATAGACAGACAGACAGCAAATAGACATATATAGATAATAGATATTTGTGTTCTCCTCATCTTTCCTACTCACAGTTTACTCTCAATGTGCAAAGTCACTCATGGCAAGATTTGTATAGTTTTCCATTGCATCAAGGAAAATTTGCCAGCTTCAAAGGGTTTGCTAACTTTTTTCATGTAGCTCTGATACTCACTAGTACAATCAGAGGCAGATTCCCTATGAAACTATGTGTTTCCAGACAGAAGTGAGAAAATGCTTAGCTCTCATAATGTTGTGACATTGTGGAAAGTTAAGAAGTCCCTGATGAAAGCAGACAAAACATAGCACAATCAATTTCCTGCAGTTTGATTTAAAAGTTAAATTGCCACAGAAAGTTTCAGGAAAGGAAAGCAATTAAATTTGTAGTACAAAGGAAGGAATATCTCTTCTCTTCCATTTCCTTACTGAACTTTTTCCCCCTGTTGCCATGGGAACTGAGGAAGAAAAACATATAGACGTTCTCCTTAATGTGGTCTTGATCAGATTGATTTCTCGCCCCTCTTGAATGTGATTAAAGATTTTATACAATTCCAACTTTGACTAGCTATAATTAACCCGAATGGCTGTTATAGGCAAGGGAAGAAACCAGACTGGTGCTCCTTGGACAAACAAACTAAGAATTTTGGATCTGAACCCTCCTGATGTGGGATTACAGTACTTTCCTGAACCTTGGCAAGCATTTTAATTCTTTAGTGGTCATTAGTTACAGCATAGTCAATCCTTTAAATAAGTGTTTCCCAACTTCAGTATTTTAACATGCATGGACCAACTCCCACAGTTTCCCAGCCAGTATGCTTTAATCAAACAGAGCACTGCCTGAAACCTTTCCTCCACACATGGTATGCTTGTGTGAAATAAAATATGCATAATTGTTATTTAAGAGGGGAGTGGTGTTGGGTTGTTTTATGGATCACATTTTTTTCTGAGATCTGCTCAATAGGATGGGATAGAAAGTATTTAATAATGGAAAGAAAAAAAGAAGACAGATTTGCCACAAAAGACACCTAATCAGAATGAATCTTGCCATTTTCTGGAAATACGAACAAAAATCCTTCTGACATGGTTTGAAAGTTTGTATTTCTGCCTAAATAGGGTTACGTGTAGAACTTTAAAATATTCACCTCACAAGAACTCTCATCCATGATGCTGTCTCAAGAACATTGTTTTGAATGTGGATAGAAGCCAATAATTACAGGGCCTGGATATGTATCATGCTTGATAAGATTATTTTCTCCTTTGTAACACGCAGATATTTCCATTATTGTTATATGTGTTATATTGTAAAATGAAGTATATTACCTGTAGTGTATATAAATTATGTAAGTACTGGATCTCTGTCATATCATGTAATGCAAGTCATGTAATTACTCTTAGAATACTTTGGCCAGAGAAAGAAAATGCATACTTTTTAACCACTTTAGAAAATGATACTTTCCACACACACAAACACACAAAATCTTGCATCAGTTTGAAAGCAGTTCTGGAACTCTGATTCCAAAATATCTTTGGCAGCAGAACTGATTTATTTCTGACTCGGTAACACTATTTTTTTTTAATAAGGTGCAGCTCTGTGAAGTTTCTATTTTTTATTTCTATTCAGTTAGTTTAGATGACACCCTACTCCAACCATTTTGTTTTTATTTATCCATTTCCCCATTCCTGCCTCAATTTGTCTCCCTGCAGCTCAAGGTAAGGAAGTGATTTTTGCTGTTGGGCTCAGCACTGTAAGGCCAACAGATGGGTTTGAAGAGCAGGGACCAACTTCAAAGCGCTATTGGGGAATGAATGGGAAGCTTGCAGAGGCTCAGAGATTCTCATGGCATGAATGTTTGCCCCTTTTTATATCTGGCCATATTTGGAATTTAATAGACTGCCATGGCAGCAGCCTTGGCTAGCTACAAAATATCATTCTGCAAAAAGCTAGCTGGTAATATGGAGACATGAGCAAGCGGATTATAAGTGAATGAGTGGCCTGAAATTCAAAACACAAATAATATGACACCATCATCTGTCCCCCCCAAAATACAAAAGACAATTACCTGTTTCAGTTGATGGCATTTTCCTCTCTCTCTCTCTTTCTGTCAGTCAGCCCATATTTCCAATTTCTCTCTTTGGATATATATATATATATACAGTAAATAAGGAGACCCAGAGTTGAGGACAAAATTATAAAGAGATCCCATGCAGGATACCAGATGCATAACAATTTATTGGTTCTATTGGTTCAATTTATATGCCGCCCTTCTCCGGAGACTCAGGGCGGTTTACAATGCGTTAAGCAATAGCCTTCATACTTTTGTATATACCTGCTTAGTAGGGCTTTCAGCCCCCCCTAAGCGGTGTTCTTTTTTATACAAAGTCAGCTTATTGCCCCCACAATCTGGGTCCTCATTTTACCTACCTCGGGAGGATGGAAGGCTGAGTCAACAATCCCTCTCCCCTCCCCCCCGTTCACCCATTGATACACCTTCTTACTTCTTTTCTCTGCAGAAACTCTTTTGCTGCTGGTGGTGGTTTAGGCTTTATCCTCCAATATATTGATTAAAAATGGGAGTATCTTGTGCAGTGAGGACTGAATAATTAACAGCAAGAAGGCAAAAAGAGCAGGGGGGGAGAGGAGAAAAGAGCAAACAATCTGGTGGACAACCATCATATTAGGACCCCAACACCATGAGATGTGCTGCTCCTTCCCAAACTATTTTCAACTTAAAAGCATTTGGTGGCACACAAACTGACACATATATGGGCCAATTCTTTAAATGTTAAAACGTGAACATTCTTCCTTGCTTTCCAAATTTTGCCCCAAATTGGTTTCACACTGATTGAATTAAAATTGTAGGACCTGGGTATTAGTTCAATGTAATATTGGTGTGTTTTTATTATGGGATCTGAGCAGCTTTTTAAAATCTCCCTACATTTTCTTATTAGCTTAGCAACGCTATTATAAATTGGCTCCAGTAAGGAGAAGTTGTACTTTAGTCCAAGTGTCCCCTTTTTGGACTCATGAATACACTTAGAGTTCACTGTCATCAGATGGGGTGATGGTCACAAAAACATTTAAAAAGAGGACAGGGTAGATTCATAGTTGTTACAAAATATATTTATTTATTTATACATTCTGCCTACAGTAAAAACTTTTGGTTTTAATTGCTTATGTACTGCACTTGAATCACAGATGAATCACAGGATGTCTTCTCCAGCTGATAGGGAACAACAGCAGAAATCTGCATTTATGAGCTTTCTAAATGTGTTGGATTGGTTACCATGTGACATAGAATGCTGGACTACATGGATCTTTGGTCTGACCCAGCAACTCTCTTATAGAAGTTCTTATGGGCATACCAAGAGCAACAGTAGAAAGACTAGAAATTTGTCTCTTGAAGGAAAGTATTACAACAGTGGTGGGTTGCTACCAGTTCAGTCCTGTTCTTGCGAACCGGTAGTAATGGCGGGAGGCTCCGCCCCCCCACCCCAACATCATCACTGACAATCTGTGCATGCGCAGAAGCTTCTGTGTGGCACTCCCATTGAGAACCAGTAGTAAAGGTAAGTGGAACCCACCCCTGTACTACAACCTACGATGCCTAAAACATCAAAGAATGTTGCACTCTTCAAATACAATAGGAACAGTAAGTATTTGCAACCTCACGTGTCTTCACCTTGCAAAGTAATCTATTTCCAGGCAAAACTGCTCTGAATTTGAGATGACTGGGAAACATCCTCCCAAAGTCATTAGAAAGAAGGGTGACCTACAACGCAGAAGAAATCTTGTTTGCTTTGTTTAATGCTTTCTTGAGTCAGGATGATAACCTTAATAAAAATATGATTTGACTCATTTAAATATATCAATATCAAATACAAATGACCTTTTCTGGCATGACAAGCTATCTACAAGTCAAATAGCTTTTGGTGGAATTTTTAAGTGATTGCCAAGGCTTACTAGGGCAAAGCCAAAAGTATTCAAATATAAGATTATCACAGGGTTTGCTTTTGAACTGGAGATGTGTTGCTTAGCAAAGGTGGCAAGTGACGAAAAAGCACACGACAGTGAAGGCTTTTTTACTTTTTGCTACATATAGTTATTTACACCAGATCTTTAAAAGACAATCCTGATGCCAGGTTTCCTCCCAAGTCTCCATCTCAGCAATTACTTCCCGCTATCTCTCCTACTTCCTCCCCTTTTCTCTCCAACTCTGTCCTTCTTTACTGGGCTAGACAAGAGACAGAGTGAAAGGAAAGAAACAAACAAACTGGATTACTAAAAAGAGTTCAATATGTCTTGATTATTTTCAGCTCAGTTGAAACACTTTCCATTTTTCCATTGGGGAAGAACCTTTCTCAAAGTCTTCTACCCAGTCCTTCCTCGTAGACCAGGGCTTTTAAAACAACAGTCATTTCCGCTATCCTCTCCTGGGTCTTGAGTGAAGTCACCACTTGCAGCCAGCTAGTACCTGTTTCTTATCCGGGCTCCTGGGTGGAAGTCTTCCTTCTGGTCTTTTCTTGCTTTCTTCCACAAAAGCCACCTCTGAACTGTTCTGTCCCTGAATAGGAGCTGACACTTGCCCTACATGCTTCATTTCAGCCTCCAAGTTCTCTTCAGCCTTTCCTCCAGCTTCTCCTCCAGTTTTTATTTTCATTCCTGCTACATTTACTCTCCTTTCCTTTTCCTTACTCCTTTTTCTCTCTCCCTTTCTCGAAATTTTGCTTAGAAGGCAGCATGTCCTACAGCAACTGAGAAGATGGGTTTCTTCCTGGGGTGAAATCCAAAATTTTTCCCTACTAGTTCTGTGGGCGTGGCTTTGTGGGTATGGCAGGGGAAGGATATTACAAAATCTCCATTCCCACCCCACTCTGGGGCCAGCCAGAGGTTGTATTTGCCGGTTCTCTGAGCTACTCAAAATTTCTGCTACCGGTTCTCCAGAACCTGTTAGAACTTGCTGGATTTCACCCCTGGTTTCTGCCCAGGGTTGTTAGTCCCCAACACCCATATACTTTGCTGCACTAATGGACTGCTGTCTAAAATCTCCCCACACCAGTCCTAGCCAGCAGCCAGGTCAGCTCATCAGGCCTCGTGCTGATGTTGGTGTCCTTTTCTCCTTTTTTCCCCCACTCTAAAAACTGGCTCACACTAGCAGAATAGCAGCCAGGCCAGGCCACAAAATCCATATGCCACAAGGATACATCAACATATTTTTCAAATGGTGCCTCCTTTTCACCTCTAGCCAAGATACACCATACACGATATTGTCCTTTCCTAAAATTTTGTTGGTTCTTCTCACTTTCCCATGTTGTCTAACTACTGCAATGTAACAATGGCATCCCTTGTCTGAAAAAGTATGAGCAGACTAACAAAAGTATAATTTACAACGTTTCTCACAAACGAAGATATTTTGTGGGAATATTTCTCTTCAAACTTATACTCCAACAAGCCTCACCAAAACGCATGCAACACTTTTCTGATATATTGTACACAGTACAGAGTTTAGAGGTCATTGTGGACATGTTCTTACTTCCTGTATCTTTCCCATATCATAACTAAGTTCAAAAATTCCAAAAAGAAAAAAAAATGCAAAGTCATCAGTGAAGATGCTTTAGGATGCTATTGTTGGATGCAATTTTTGAATTCCATTCCCTTGCCTCAAAATAGCATAATCTGGTCCCTTTGTTTGGCATTAATTCTCACTTAAAATAGTAAATTAATAATCTTAGGTTTGTTTTATTGGTTTTAACCAAATAATATATAAAAATACTCAGTAAAGGACACAAAGAAAACAGAATTTTTTCCTTTTGTTAACCAGAAATGTCGTCTTGAAGTTTGTTGAATTGATCCAAAAAATATTGTTGAAAAGAAATGTTTGACAATTTTAGCTGAGAAACAAGAAGCAGAGAAATACAGATACAGTATCACATGAAAATGAATCATCATATCAGTTCTTTGTGCTTTGAGCTATGGAATAGGCAAGGAAAAATATTGTAACAAGTAAACCTAACCAAGATTATATTAGTGGGACCAGTAAATAACAGCAATATAGTTCATGTGTGGTTTTCAAGAATAAAAAAAACATTAAGAAACTGGAAGAGACTATTTGAGAGGGATTACCACGCAACTCTAAAAATTCTATTACTCTAATTTTAATTGTCACTGATTCAAAAAGCAAAGGATATCATGATAAAGCTTTTTACAGTACATTCAGAGGTATATCAGCAACATGATAGCACTGCTAGCAGGGCCTATTAAGAGGTTCTGGTATGTCCTAACATTGAACTTATATTAGTATTAAATATATTTAATTAGTACTAAATATAGATATATTGATATAATCTCAACTTTCCTAAGCGGTTATGCTCAAAAGATACTTGCCAAGGACTTCAGATAAAAGTGGAACATTTGCCTTGGAACCATAAGAACTGGAAAAATACACAAGGTCATGTGGAACTTACATTCTCCCTCACCCCTACATTGACTTTCTTCCTAGCCTTTGCCATTTATGAAAACATAAGACTGCAATGCCAGTGAACAGAGTTCGATCCAGTTAAAAGGAGCATGAGCTATATTGAGCAAATTTACTTAAGATTGGGCTGTTTATATAAGGTTTTTTATGTGTAAACAATAACATAGCAATAGAATGAAATCTAATCACACGGAAGATCAATTGAAATTTATGAGGCTTCATTTAATGTAAACTCCATTAATTTCAATATGTCTGCTCTAAGCAGAGTAAGTCTGCATTTGCATAATAGTAAACTCCTGTTGGAGATTACATAGTAAATCAACTAATGCACAAAATGCTGTCAAAGTATGAACATTTCCTATAATCTGTTGGAGAGAATGTATGTGCTAGAAATGCTTTTTCCCCCTCTTTATATACAGATTATGAATATATCTTTATAAATTCTACTCTTTATAAATTTATGTTCACAATGACCTGTTATCTCACTGTGCACAAATCCTTCATGATATGTTTGACAATTCAAGAGTGAGAACAACAGAATGTTTTGGGCTGGCACTTACAATTTTTTGATTAATGTTTCTTTTTTAATTTTAATTTTTTTATGCAGAAAATTAAAATACAAACTCCAAAGGAATTTTTTTTTTAAAAAAAATACAAAAGTAAGACAAAACTAGACAAAAACTTTTTAAACATGTGAATTAAAAGACAAAAAACAGAAATTCATATTATCTTCCCCCAACTGAGCACTAACAAATATGTTACAGAAATAATAGCTTTCTCCCCTTACAAAGAGGTCTTAAGATCTACATCTATTAGTAACCAATTCACCTGTGATACACCTATTTTATATTAATGTAGAAAAATAGTTAATCAACAAGGAAGTTAAACTTCAGAGCTCTCTGCAACAATCTATTATTGTAATTAACTCTTAGAAAGTCTACAATGGTTTCTTATCTGTCACAAATCACCCCAATTATCTCTGATCCAACAATAAACCATTCCTTAGATTACTCTTACTAATAATGCCATTAACTAAGGATCTTCCCAGCAATTGCATTTCATTCACAAGGACTATTACTGCAGTCTCTGATGTAAATATTTCTGCAGCATCCATTGTTCAAAGGTCTTTCTGAAAACACAGCAGCCCATCTTGCCAAGAGAATCCAGTCCATCACACATCATTTCCATTATTTCTGAATTTCTTGTACTTGTTTCCTTTTCAATTTTTTCTGCCAAGGCTATAATAGTCAGACTAGATTTTCTTCTTCATGTCTGGCAGCAACAAATCAAATTCCAATCCATCAGATTACAAATTGAGTCCAATTGTTATTTTCTGCTTTTGGGTACCATCCTGGGTTTTATCTACGCTTTTAATATGGTTTTATGTGCATCATGTTTAGTCAAGGAAAGTAATGTTGCAATAAAGACAACAAAAATGATTCAAAAAAGATGGTGACAAGGGTAAAGCATCTAAGACACAGAATGGTACCCCAATCCTAAACATCTCTACCAGTACAGCATCTCCAATTTGTTGAGGATTTCCGTAATGTTATTTGAAACGAATAGTTTGGTATATTGTGATTGGCAGCTGCTTAGTCCTATACATATAATCAAGTCATGAACTACTCTGAAACTGATTGGCAATGTAGTAACTACAGCAAATGATACATATTGGAGATCCTGATAAGTTTTCAATGTATTTACAGAGAGCAAAGTGAATTGGTCACCAGAGATTAGAGTTTTTTTGTTGAATTAAGATAACTTGTTATTCAGAAGAAGGTGAGTACTACTTCAGTAGCTATAAAATAGCAACAAGATGTAGAGCAGGCACCAGCACAACTGGAGATCTTTGGTGGAAGGAGCAGCATGAAGTGCCTAGCAATTCTCTTCGCTCTTGTGGCTTTTTCTGAATGTTTTGTTGAGTCAGTCCTCATTTTATTACTAATATTTTCATCACTGACAGCTGCAATTGTTTGCTTGTTTACTTGATTTATTCATGAACTTTCTATTCTGGCAATACAGGGGAGATAAACTATGGATGGTATATTCAGATTTAAAATTACATTGTTATTTTAATACAATACAATGCAAAGAGAAAGCAGATTGAGCCAATATTAAAGGCATTATTATACTCTTTTGGTTTTACTAATATGTAAACGTTATCTTAAATATTTTAAATATTCTAGATATTAAATATCTAGAAACTAGTTAAAAATTTCAACTAATGCTTTTAAAGTTTAAGGATGGAATAAATTAACTTGTAGCATTTTCTTTAGGCAGTCGTATCATCTCTTACATTTGTGCAACTCTTTTGGATGTATGGTTTATTATGTTCATGAGTTTGGGCTGTATTAATATTTTTGCTGCTGAAGGAGTCAAGTTGAAAGCCCATGATATTTGACTGAAATCCATAAATGTTTTTACTTAATTTAGATATAGGGTGGATGACAATGTGAAACAGTATAAATTTTTTTTTTCCATTAAAAGGAACACATGTATAGGAGAGGAACGACAACATAGCATCTATTCATTTTGTTCTTGTATGCTAGGGTTCCCCTCTGGAAAGGAGAGAAACTTAGAGATATTCTTAGGAAGAAACATTTGCTGGAAAGTCTTCTACAGAAACATCATTATGACATTAGTACTAAGTACACCACACATTCTCCAGATGTTTTCAATCCTGGTCAGCTGGCTGATGAACCACTCATGAACTACTTAGATGTAAGTTGCTGGTTTTCTTTTGCTTTGCCAATAGGAGAGAATATAGGTAGCTCAGGGTTGAACTGTGTAGTCCTTGATGCTCTCTAGCTTGGAGCCCTGTGTCCAGATAGTATGTTTTAACATGGGAAAACCTTTTCCCAAATGTATGTTATTTATTTCCTGTGATATTTGAATAATTTGTAAATTATTTTACCAATATAAATGTCAAAATGCTAGTGAAATAATGCTAGCTCGATTACTCTTATTTATGTAGCTAACAGGGTGGCACACCCTTTTGTTAATTCATTTGGTTTCTACTTTGTTTTATTATTTCCTTCTATAGATGCTTTTTCTATTGCTTTATTTTGTAACACTTAGGTTTATGGTGTTTATTTCATGCCTCAATATTAAAACATTGTCAAAAAGATCTACTGTACTTAGGTCTTCCAACATATATTTATTATTTACAAATTAACAGTCCCAGTACTATGGAACAATCTATATTGGAACACCACCGCAGGAATTCACTGTTGTGTTCGACACTGGATCATCAAATCTCTGGGTACCATCTATTTTCTGCAATAGTCAAGCATGTAGTAAGTAACTGTCTTCATCAGACTTGATCAAATGGATTCATAAATGTACTAAATTGTATTACATATACTGGATAGCAGTGATAGCTATAAAAGATGCAGTTTCACTGCATCGTAGCTAGAAAATCCTGCAAGATGAAAAAAAAATTGCCCGAAGCCATTGCTCTACTTAATGAAGAACTTCTCTAAACAGGGATGCAGATCTGATAATGGCATGAGAGATCCTGCTCCCTGAAATTTCACCCAGCGGTCCTGAAGGCATGCCATTGTAGCAGAATACACAGCTAGCACTGGCTTTCTTAAAAATGAGGAAAACTCATTTTGCAGCACAGAGGGAAAAGCACTTGATACAGGATGGCCTGCGTTTCTGTGGAGAGGACATTTTGTCTGCTTCACTCCTCTTCTTTCACTGCTGTTTAGCACTGTGTGGGCTTGAAAAGTAGACCAAACAATAAATTAAAGGAACAAAACAAGGTCTGTTAGCATGCTATTGTGATGAGCTCAGGCATAGAAATATGCTTACTTTATTTCATTTTATGTTTTTAAAGATCAGTGGAAGGGTACAGGGCAAGGCAAGAAGTGGGTAAATTGGCAGTTGATACCAATAGAATACATATAGCTCAGGGTTCAACTTTATTTATTTATTTATTTATTTATTTATTTATTTATTTATTTATTTATTTATTTATTTATTTTCAATTTATATACCGCCCTTCTCCCTGAGGACTCAGGGCGGTGCACAGCCAGAATTAAAAACATGAAATACAAATATTAAAAACAATTAAAATCTATATAAATTTGGCCCAAAATTTAAAAAAACCACAAACCAATTAAACATTTAAAAATTTAAAAAATTTCTTCCTAAGCCAGCCCGGCTTGCTGGAAAAAGTGGGTTTTAAGGGCACGGCGGAAGGCACTGAGGTCTTGGATTCTCCTTATCTCTGGGGGCAACTGATTCCAGAGGGTAGGTGCCCCCACAGAGAAGGCTCTCCCCCTGGGGGTCACCAGCCTACATTGTTTGGCTGATGGTACCCTGAGGAGGCCCTCTCTGTGGGAGCGCACGGGTCGCTGGGAGGTCGTCGGTAGCAGCAGGCGGTCTCGAAGATAGCTAGGCCCTATGCCATGGAGCGCTTTAAAGGTGATAACCAACACCTTGAAGCGCACCCGGAAGACCACCGGGAGCCAGTGCAGCTTGCGCAGGAGCGGTGTTACGTGAGAGCGCCATGCTGCTCCCATCACTACCCGCGCTGCTGTGTTATGGACCAGCTGGACTGTGGACTTCTTGGTGCTCTCGGAACTTGGTTGTTTTCTTGCAGACATTCTGTTACCTGGCTGTGTAACTTCTTTAGTGCTAGCACCAAATAAAATGTTTGCAAGAAAACAACCAAGCTAAGAAAGCACCAAGGACTCTCCAAAGCAGTTGATTTCTGGTCAACACCTAAGAGCTGGTTACTTTGCCTGTTCAAGGCTACTGCCCATAAAGGGCAGATACTGATCAGCTGGGCAGTTCAAACCCTATAAATGTTCCATATCCATGTATACATCCAAGATTCAAAAAGATTTAGAATGATAGAGAACAGCATCTCATGAACGTTAAATAAGAATCAGGAGAGTTTGGCAGTGGGATTTTAGGAATAAGGCCCACTGAGCGCAAGGGGATTTGGCTTCTAACAATAAGCATGTATAGCATTTGGGTAACCAAATGCAATCTTCTAAGGCAGGCGTATCAAACTCAATGTCATTGAGGGCCACATCAGGGTTATGTTTGACCTCAGGGGGCCGGGGTGGGTGTGGCCAGGGTGAGTGTGGCCAGCTTCATGTCACTCGTGTTGGCGGCGTCTGTGGTGGCCTGAGTGCTCTGCCAGCGAAAACAGGCTCCCGAGCTCTGTCTTTGGTTGCCACGACCTCCTGCAACTCTCTTTCACTGGGAGAGGGTTGCAGGAGGCCATAGCAACCAAAATGGAGCTCAGGAGACCGTTTTCACTGGCAGAAGCACTGCGGGCCAGTCCTTCGCTGTTTCCAGGGCAGCCCCGCGGGCCAGATCCAGCCCCTGGGCCTTGAGCTTGACACTCTTGTTCTAAGGAATATATTCCACTGAATATTATGGGATTTGATTTTGGGAAGACATTTATATGACTGCACAGATAAATTTTAGTTTGTAAAAGCACAGGGTAATTTTCAGCAAAAGGTTTCAAAATGGTCGTGTTAAAATCAATTTCCGTCTTTGAAGACTGACGCAAATAGTAACATATCATATTTTCCAGAAATAATATTCTTTTTATATTAAGTGATATTCCTCTAGTAAATAATTCTATCCACTAGTTTTATTAACTATTTATGTGGCTTTTCCTTTTAATTGGCTAATAAAAGGAAAGCATTTCCTTTTAATCAGCTAATAATAATAATAATATAGTTCAAATGCTCTGCACTGTAAAGCATTGCAATATTTTTCCTCAGGAAGAAATGTATATTGTACTGAGCTTGATACCCACCATTGATTAAAAGCTGGTTTAATATTAATTAATGACTGGTGTTTTTTGTTTTTTTTTTATATTTAGCAAAACATCAACGATTTAACCCAAGCCTTTCTTCTACTTTCAAGAGCGCAAGAAAGACTATGGCCATTTGGTATGGCACAGGAAACATGAAGGGCTTGTTAGGATACGACACAGTGAAGGTAAAACCATGCATTTCTGTAGCTACCTAAAAGATGAGCAGATAGTAAATGGTTAATAAAGTCTATTTCCAACAATGGTATAGTTCAGAGGTGGATGTTTAACCATATAGGGCCGTGTTGGCGAACCTATGGCAGGCGTGCTGGAAGTGGCATGCAGAGCCATTTTTCCGGGCATGCAAGCCATCATCAAACTCACCTGAAACTGTGCATATACGCCTCTGGTGCACATGCGTGCAATTCAGGGGACCCAGCTGGTCTTTGGAGCTCTCCTGCGCATGTGTTTGCGCATACGTGTGAGATTGTGCATGCAGCGTGCACTAGTGCACATACGCAAAAGCTGTGCGCATGCACAGATGGTGTGGTTATGCGTGCAGCACATGGGGAGGAGCCACGTGTTACCGCAGGTGGCACACGAGCATGCGCAGAGCTCGAAGCGTATTCCTCTTCAGCACTCGGTAAGTAAAAGGTTCGCCATCACTGGTATGGGAGAACATTTGTCCAAGGGATTGTTTGCTCTAGATGTGCATAGTTTATGCTTCTTATTGGTTCTCTTTTTTATTATTTTTTAAAATTGTATACTAGAGTCTGCATGGCTTTAGAATTCAACCTCCCATGTTAGGCTATGGTACCTGAACATATTAGAGATAGCGAGGCAAGTTGTGGGTAGTTATTTAAAAAAATAAAATCAGGTGACATCACAACCATCAAAGCTCCTGCCCTTTTTAAGGGGATGGGATGTTTTTCAAAAAAACAGGTGGGGTTTCAAATTCATGGTTGTGGGCACCGACTTGGCCTTATTGATACCCACCCATCCCATCAACATCCCAGTAACAAGGAATGTATTATGCTCATTTCTGCGAAGGAGGGGGAAAAAATGACAGAAATGACATACAGAAAGGAGCTCACACTAAGGTCTGTGCATGATGCCAGCAGCTATACATTCACCTTGGAGCCTGAGAGCAAAACAAAATAGAATTGTTACTGGTTTTGGGCAAACTCAGTCTCTTCAGTAATTTTAATTAATTAGTAAAAGGCCGTGGCTGACTCAGTTATTGTCTTGAAGCCGTGATATTTATTAATTTAATTGTGTGCTGAAGAATATGAGCCTAGGCTTATGGGGGTGGCCGTCACTCATAGTATTAAAAGTCTGCTCTGGGGTTCACCAGGTTAATAGATAAAGGAAAACTTTGTTTCTCTTCTAGGTGTCCAGCTACTCTGATACCAATCAACCTTTTGGTTTGAGCACTGAAGAGCCAGGAAGCATTTTTACCTATGCAAAGTTTGATGGCATCCTAGGCTTAGCCTACCCCTCAATTTCGGTTGATCAAGCAACTCCTGTCTTTGATAATTTGATGAAAGAAGGTTTAGTGCAACAACACTTGTTTTCTGTTTATCTCAGCCGGTAAATAATATTTTGATCTACCAGTTGTTGTTAGTGGTGGAAGGAAAATGGAATAGATTTCTTTGGCAGCCCAATCATGTCACCTGAATAACACAGAGTTGGGTTGTATTCTTAAAGTGTATGAGATGGCCATGGATTATAACTCTATAACAATTCAACAGCAAAGATTAAGACAGCTGTTGTTCTAGCATTTGAGCTTGCATGAGCTTGCATTTGTGTAAAGGCCAAACTTCTCACAGCAAAATGTCTATGGAGATTCTCTATCATCCTGGTCATGGTTGTCCCAAAGGTGCTTTTCTAAAAGGCAACTGGATTTTCTTGGTTTTTTTCCCTTGTTTTAATTCTTAGAGGCCTGGGGTGCAGTGGTTAGAATGCAATATTGCAGGCTAATTCTGCAAACTGCCGATTGCCAGCAGTTCAATTCTGACCGCCTTGACTCAGCCTTTCATCCGATGTCAGTAAAATAGGACTCAGTTTATTGGAAACAATATGTTGACTCTGTAAACTGCCTAGAGAGGGCTATAAAGCACTGTGAAGCAGTATATAACTTTAAGTGCTATGCTATTGTTTCTCATCCAAAAAGTTTCTTTAGTTCAGAAGCTTTTTGAATGAGAAGTGAAACTTTTTCAAGGAAAAAAACCAAGAAAATCCAATTATTGTTTGAAAAAGCACCTTTGGAACTTCTCATGGCAAGTTCTCTTAATGATTCTGCATTAGGTTTAAAGTAGCATGGGATATCTCTGATTCCACTATGTCAGCAGTAGTAGAGAGCTGAGCCAATGGATTTCTGGGTCAGCTATGGTTGTGTTGAAATTGATGTTTTCTTTTGCAATTCTTTGAAAAGCTGGAACTCCATAGAGCTTATGAACAGATTGTTTCATTAATGGGGTGATCCTTGAGCACTTCTACCTGGTCCTTTGCTTGGTGGCATTTTCCCCCCAAATATGCACAAAGTGAAGAAAAGTCTTGAATGGATGGAAAAAGTGGGAAAGAGCAAGCAGATCCTTTTGGTTTCTTTTGTTGCATGTGTGGATGAGGAATCTTTTTTTAAAATTCTGGGACATGGGAGAATATCAGTTATTATTTAATGTTCTTTGTAATCATGATATGAACATCTTCTGGCACTTTGTAACAGTAAAGCAAGTTTTTGAAAAGTCACAATTTTAGCTGAAAATTTAATATGCATCAAATGGCTTGACAACTTCATATTCATGTTTCAGAAAAGCAACTGGGAGCAAGATCACTTTTGGTGGAATAGATCATTCTCATTATACTGGTTCTATTAACTGGATCCCTGTGAGTCAACAAACATACTGGCAGATTTCAATGGACAAGTAAGCAGGATTTGCCATAAGTACTATTATTTAGATTATAAACAATATACTATATAGATTGAGCTCTTTACTATTATTGGACATTACAAGTGAAAAAAAAGGAAAATAAGTCAAGCTCTGGAAAGAAAAAAAATTCTGGAAAGAAAATTTTGATTACATATGGCATGTTACATACTGGAAGAGCAGAGGTTCCTGCTCTAAAGAATTCCCAGCTACATTTATTATAATTTCTTTCTGCAGTTTCAAACACATATCCTGGTTTTGCCTTGACTAATTATATAGTATAGAACCATATTAGTCACCCTCACAATAACTTCTTAAGGGACACATTAATTATATTTTAACAAGTGGTAGCCTTTTTTATTTCTAGTATCACCATCACATGATTTCTGTTTCTTAGTGTTTTAGTGAATGGTAATACGGTTGCCTGCAATAGTGGCTGTCAAGCAATTGTTGATACAGGTACCTCCCTCCTGGCTGGTCCACCATCCGGCATATCTAGCATCCTACAAGCCATTGGAGCTAAACAGGGGCAGGTAAGATTAAACCCCTTATTCTCTGCCATTGTATTTGTCATTCATTACACTTGAAAGATTCTTCTACTCATCCTTATCACACTGATGGCCATACAGTACCAGGCTGTAAGGGGTTAGGTATGGAAATACATAGATTGGTAGACATCTGATTTGTATTACTGCTCAGTTTGCATTGTGGATTTCCACTTCAGCAGATTTCTGCCTGTACATTTCATTAAAATTCAAATGTAAATTTGATAGTCTTGTTAAGGTTTTGTTTTACTTATAAAGTGTATGAGATGATCATGGGTTATGGCTGTAAAAATCCTTAAATAGTAAAGAATATTAAATCTCCCTAGAGATTGATTAAGAAAACACTTCCTGCATTTATCATATAATCAGAGTAACTGAAACTATCTTGATTTGCAAATTGATGTTCACCTCAAGCATAAAACTTAATGTTTATGGAGTTTCTCAGTCATCCAGGTCATGATTGCCCAAAGGTGTTTTTTCAAAAGGTAATGGGACTCCCCCCACCCCAAAGACATTTAATTTCTCATCCAAGAAGCTTTTTCAGTTCTGAGCTGAAGAAGCTTCTTGGATGAGAAGCGTAACGTCTTCAAAGGGGGGGGGGAAGCCCAGTTGCTTTTTGAAAAAACACCTTTGGGACATAACACTTAATAAACATAATAGTGAATTACCACGTAAGACAGCAATTTTACTTTCTTGAAATTTCATATGTGGAACAAAAATGTTGCATTTTGTGATTTAAAAAAAAATACTGTTTGTTGTGATCAGAATAATTCAAGAACACTCTTCCTTGTTTTGTGTAGCGTGTAATCAACTGCAGCAAACCCGGTCAACTGCCTGATATTGTTTTTGTGATCAATGGAATCCACTATCCACTGAGCCCAGCAGCTTATACTAATCAGGTACATAATAGATTTGGATTTATACTCAGTGCTTGGTTACAACTATTTCTATGCAGATTAGAAGTGCATAACTCTGCCCAAGGCAAGGGATGAAAATGGAAAGATGGAGGCAATCTTTTGTAAGAAATATTCTTAGTAATGCAGTTTGGGTCTGGAGATGCTCTTTTGAAGTACATCTCAAATTCAAGGATAAAGGTGCTCTGTGGAAGCGCAATCATACCTGCTCTCAGATACTATTAGATTAACATAGATTTGATTCTTGAATACGGTTTTTGACTTTTAGTAATTTTGTCCTGCAGGTTACATGTTTATCACCATCAATATTTTTTGATCCAAAATTTTCAGTATGATATCAGGTGTCGCAAGTGTTTTTTTAGCTGTTCCAGGAAAGGCAAAATGTGGAAGAAAATAATGCTGTTTTCCCCTTAGTTTCCTCTTTGCATAGAAAATTGCAAAATCTCACTTTCTGCATTTTCTTTTTAAGACCACAATATGTGTTTTTGCAATGGCAGTGAGAAAAAAAAAGTCTGCTCGCCATTCTACTTTTAGTTATTTGAAGTCAAAAGGTTACACGAAAGGAAAAAGAGCAGCTATAATCTAGATCAGAGCTTCTCAACTTTAGCAACTTGGTGGCTGGGGAACTGTGAGAGTTGAAGTCCACATATCTTCAAGTTGCCAAGGCTGAGCAGCATTAATCTCTAGATAGAACATGATGTACAGTATTTTATGTGGAAAATACATGAGACGTAAAGCTATAGTCTGGTAAGTTTTATTACTCCTTTATTCCAGATACCACTATGTCCAACTACCCCAGCACACCATAGTTATGTTCCCACAATAAAATGAAAAGCATAAGCATAGCAGTAAAACAAAGGCCCAAATTTGATGTGCTTGGGAGATCCTTCCTAGCATACCTGTCAAGTGCCAGGGAAATCAGGAGATTCAGATTCAAATAAATCTGAGTATAAAGATTTATTGCAAGCTTAAGCTGTCTACAAAATCTGGGTTAGCAATGGTCAAGGGAAATGAGCAAAAATTAAGAGGCATTTGTGGGCTGCGCTTAGATCTCTTGCGGATTTCAAGGGGCTTGTGACTTATGACATGTTTGACCCCTCCTCAGGTTCAGCCTGGTCATCTCATACTATTCCTGGCATCTCTGCACTAGACTTACCAGATATTGATGCCTGCTGATAATATACTATCTTATCCAATTCAACTCTTCAAATATGATGAATTATAATTCCAACAATTCTAGAATAGTATGGGCCCTAATTATAGCTCTGCTGTCTGGGAATCCTAGGCATTGTCCCAAAACATCTAAGTAACCCTACCTATATTATCTATGTCTGGGGGATACTAATCAGTGAGTAGTTAGTACACCAAAATAATAACACAGAACCAAGTCAATCACCCTGTGAAAAAATAGGCTGTTAAGGAATCTCCTCCATTATATTATTTCAGGGCTCAATGTATATGTGGAAACCACAGTCCACTTCCAAGCCTGAATCTCCTTATAGTTTCTATATATGTGCTTATTGAATTAGTCAATGTTTGAATTCACATAATATTGTATTTAAACTATAAATAAATGGAATAAGATGATTTGCACAACATCCTAAACCACAAAGAATCAAGCCAAAATTTACACTAACCAAGCATATCCATTTGTTCAGATGAGTCTGTAAAGTTTTTAACTGATCTCTCAACAGTGTTATCTCCTGAAAATTTATACTCTTGATATTAATAACTCTCAATAAAAACAAATAACTTCTATGTTATTGATGTCTTCCTGGATTAAAAGTACAGCAATACAAAACAACACTATTACAATGTCCACATAAATTCACTGGCATTTCCCCCCCCCCCCGAACTAGCAGAAAGGGTTTCAATACTATCCTGTCTCACTGTATATCTGCTGGCACAGTTCAAAGAGAGGATAATGTTACAGTTCAATTCTTTTCGCAATGAAGCAGCACACAAAGCATTTCACAAATCTGGAATCTCCATACAGCTTTTAAAGAGCTTTCTTACTTGAAGAATTGGATTTTTATTCCTTTGGATATCATCTTAACTAACAATCTCTCTGTAGACCATACACTAGCGTTTATTTTATTTTGTTTATATGTACCTTTATATATTTTCACTTGCTTTTGTGTGTGTGTGTTTGTAGGTTTACTGGTACAATTTGACTAAAATTAATTCATTGAATAACCCCTGCACAGATTCAGTCTTATGGCTGTTTTTTAATTTTTGTTGTTGTTGTCTTCTTCCTTCTCTCTAGATTTTACCAGGCTATTGCACCGCTGGTTTCCAAGCAACTGGTGGGAGTAACTGGATTCTAGGAGATGTGTTCATAAGAGAATACTACAGCATTTTTGACAGAGGCAACAATCGAGTTGGGCTGGCAAAGGCAATCTAAGAAAAAAAAATCTGCTTTTTACAACAGTGAATACTGTATCTGTTTAATCTGTTTATTTACGGGACCGCCTGCTACCACCAATAGCCTCCCACTGGCTGGTATGCTCTCATAGAGAGGGGTTCCTCCGGGTGCCGTCAGCCAAACAATGTCGACTGGCAGCCCCCAGGGGAAGAGCCTTTTCTGTGGGGGCACCTACTATCTGGAATGAGCTCCCCCCGGAGATACGGAGGATCGCGGATCTGCGCACCTTCCGTTGCGCTCTCAAGACTTTTTTATTCCATCAAGCCAGCCTGGCCTAAATCTTTCCCCTTTAAAATGTAAATTTTAATTTGTTTTTAACATTATTGAGTTTTAAATTTGTCTCGGCCAAATTGTTTAATTCGGTTTTATTCTGTTTTTAAAATTTGCATTTATGTGTTTTATTCTGTGGCTGTTCACCGCCCTCAGTCCTTTGGGAGTAGGGCGGTATACAAATCCAATAAATGAAATGAAATGAATGAAATGAAATGAATCAACACATCCAGCTGTAGTTTAACTTCTCAGCAATGTATTGAATTAACTCTAGTCCTGTATTTTTAAACACAATAGCTGATAATTCGCAAATGATAGCACTATTCAGGTATTTCTGATTACTCTTGCATGCAAAAAATAAATACATAAATAATATCTTGTTCCAAAGCTGTGTTCTTTGCACATATTCATGTCGACTTGCACGAGCTGTGATAAAACATATTAGATTCCTAGACTGACAGAAAACAATCTCCAGGTAGAGATTATACTTTTATATTAGTCATAACTACCTGCCAACTAACTCTTTGAAAGGAAGGTGTTCCTGGTTAGATAGAAGAGATTGGTCTTTGACATAAAACATTTCTTTACTAAGTTCCTATATGTGTGGCCTTGCCATATATTTAAAAAAAAAAATAGGATTCAGGATCACATAGATCAGGAAGTAAGAAATGTGCTTATGCTTATTTTTATTTATAAATGCATATTTATGGTTCTTCCTCATATCTAGAGAAATGTGCCTTGAGTGGAGAGGAAAGTATGTCGGTCTAAAAAGCACTGGCCCCACAGCCTACCTTTAGCAATCCAATTAGTGCTGCTGCCGCCCCACATTGTAACTTGTGGTAGCTTCAGGGTAACAATCAGCAAAATCTCTGATGTCTCTCCCTGTCCCATCAGGGTTATTTATGTGTGGGGAAATGAATTACCAATCATTCTCCAGAAAGTATGACTAACTAGGGTTGGGGAACTTCAAAGATGGTCTGATGCCTTTCTTTGCACTCAGCTAGGATATTATCTGGAGTTGGTTTGTTTGGGGTAGTTCACAGTCAACTTTTACTTATTGTCTGTTTGTTTGTCAGGAGAACAGTTGTCCCTCCGTCTGCTGAATGATTTGAAGGCTGATATGGCAAAATAGCCTGTGTTTTTCAAATGGCCGTATTGGAAAGCATGGGGTAAACTGCCCCTAAGCCTTCACTGCTTCTTCTTGTCTTCATTTTCATGTTAAACTGCCTGTCTCAGCAGTCCCGTTGTCTGTCTTCGCTCTGCTCACCCAATTATTCCTTCAAAACATCAGCAGCTGCTGGTCTTCCATCTATAATCTGGCATCAGTCCCACCTATGGAAAAGGGGGCGGGGCAGAGGGGGGGAATACTTGGGAAAGTGAAACATGCCTTCTTGAGGAACTGCTTCAAAGTTGCCTAGCTAGAGGAAGGAGGAGGAGGCATACCAGAGCACGCCTGAACTGACCATTAGGAAAACAGCTTGCAAGATTATAATTGGATACTTTAATTGGGGTGGGAAATGAAAACCAATCAAGGAGGGGGAAGGGAAAAGTATAACATTTGGGATTTTGGTGCACAAATCTCAGTTCTGGCTAGGCAATCCACTTGATCTTTAATAAAACTATACCTTTCTCAACAAATGGAGCCAAGGATCATTTTTATTTGGAGATTAAGTGAGGGCAGCCTGACACTGACACTGAATATTGTGTTAAAACACTGCTCCAGCTGGCTTTGGCTTTGCTAAGGGAGCTCCTTGGGAAGTCTTTTTTTTCCCCAATGAAAATAACATTTTGGTGATCTGGGATGTTCACCATCCTACATTGCAGCCCTTCAACCCCGAGCAAGAAGTTGAAAAAATAATTGGCAACTAATTAGTCTCATGGAGAGAACTTTTAAAAATAACAGTAATAAGATAAGGTATCCATCTCCCTGACAGCCACAACAAAAATGGTAATGGAGCACAAAGTCTTAAGCAGCTCTTAGCAGACCTCTGATTTCTTCTCCTCTGTGCAGAAGGACTCATGAAAAATCCACAAAAGATTGAAAACACTTTTTTGTGTTAAAACCCATCTTAGCCTGCCTTATCAGCAGGCTAATAACAAGACAAACACTCCAATGTCAGGAATGTTCTTAGCAAATAATAAGTGGGGTATCTTCATACCTTAGAAAGCAGGGCATGTCTATAAATCCCTTGAAAAATTGCATTTCATTGAAGACAAAACCAATTCATTTCCTACCCAAATCTCTTTGAACCAAATAAACTTAGCTCACATGAAAGAAGTGAAAAGCATGTATACAGGCAATCTGGGCCTATAGAGATGGTCTCAGTTTGCTTAACGTTCAGAAAATTTAAGGCTGTCAATTAATGCTACTGATGGAGGCTGTTTTCCATACATCTTGCATTGCCAAAAGCTGGGGAATAGCTTTAGCTCTGATTTTGGGGGGGCAAGTGGGGATCATCTTTTGACATTCATTGCAGGAATGTCTGACTTCTGAGCAAGGAGAATAGATACTGATATTCACAGGAGAGATTGCACCAAGTGAAAGGATAAAGTTCTTTTTTTACCTTCAGATCCCATGAACTTAATCTGCATAGAAATTAATTGGGGTGGGCATGGGGGGAAGGACAGAGGAAGGAGGACACTTTTATGGACATCAGTGGAAATTTAGAACTCAGAAAAAAATAGATCCAGATCTACGGCCCCAGGTTTAGCAACATCACCAGCTGACATATTTTTGAAAAATATAGGAAACATACAGGAAACTCAAACCCATATACAGGAAACTCAAACTCAAGAACCATCAAAGTATGAGGTTGTAAATTTTATACTTCTTTATTTTTCTACAAAAACAAAGGGGAAATAAAACAATAAAGAAAGAAAGCATCAGCTAGTAAAATTATTAGCTAAGTTCAACTAATTAATGCATTTAAAATACCTTAGTTTTTATAAATAAAGTATTTTAAACGGATTAATAAACAGATAACTAAAACAAACACACACACACCCTTAAAAAAACAGAATCATGGACATAAATCAAGAACCATTTTGAAAAAGATTAAAATGGTGAGTTCAAATCTCAGAACATCCTCCCAGAGTATTTGAAGAATTGGGCTTAATATGAGAGCCAATATATAATGTATTGCTTAAAGTATTGGACCAAGAGCAGGGCGATCCAGCCAGATCCAGCCAGATAATACCTTCAGCAATGAAACTCAATAGCTGACTTTTTCTCAGACAATTTTATCTCACAGCATTATTGTTTTGGAATAAAATAAATAAGGAGATCCTCAGGGAAGCTGCCTTCAGCACCTGGAGAAATATTTAACTGGATTTGGTTCAACAATTAATGTTTAACCAGATAAAATGATAATAAAACGATCTATCTTATTACTTTTTGAACAAATTTATTCTCATACTTAAAAAGAGAATAACCATGATGTATTAGAGTGCTCAGAGATCTTGGAACAGTAGTTGATTCCAAACTCAGTGTAGGTTTGCAGTGCAATATGGCTGTTCCAAGAAAAATGCAAATTTAGGGCTTTGGGGCTTTGAGAATTGCTTAAAGCAAAAATAACATTTTAAGAAGAATTTATTCCTACAAGCAATGATAATGAAATTTGTTGCTATGACACAAGTTCCATTTTTAAGTACGACATACAAAAATGGAATCTAGACTGCAGTTTAAAATTAACAGCAACCTTTTATAAACTATTCCTAAATATTCAACTCCATCTGGATTGATAGGATTGGAAGGATCAAGTTGTTCCTTACAATTAACTGTACTATTTTTGTACCAACATGGCTGTAGAATCTTCTAATCTTTACCCAATGTATGTTAAGGATCAGTCTGAGTCTTTGGGTTCAGAAGTAGAAGAGCTTGACCAATCTGAGCTTCAGCCTCAACCACAGGAATTGGCTGAAGAGAGGAGGTAGAGGGTTGGTGCAGGCTGAGTCAGCTGATACAGAAACTGAGCTAGGTAAGTCCCACCCAAGCCCAGGAAAACACCACAAATTGACAAGAGGAGAGCAAAGGAACTTGAGTCATCCACTTGAAAGTAAGAAGCATGTCTCACAAATGAGCCATACTCATTGGTTCATCCTGTAGAAATATGGTCTGTATAAAGGAAACTGTGCCTTGACTGGCTCTTTGTGGCAATCAACATTACACATTCCCATCCTCAGACACATCCCACCTACTTCTAATCTAGCGTAACTGTATGGCGCTTTGACATTCTTGGATAACCTAGCAGAATTTTGGTCTGGAAACTGACCATTCTTGGATCATTTCCAAACTGGCATTTTTGTCTCTCTGGACTATTTCAGTTGTGTTTTCCTTCTCTAAGCAGAAATGTCTGTAGTTTTCAATGTGTTTATGTTGCCACAGATAAGGATTTAGGACTGCAATAAATACTTTTTTTTTTGGCAGCACAAAAAAGAATCTATTGATCAGTTTAAAAGTACACTGTCGTTATGAAGAGGAATGTTGCTGTCAAGATACTGTTATGTTGGCACATCCTTTGTATTCCTTCAACCCATGTTCAGCCTTAGTAAACATGACATTCCCTAAAAGAGCAATGTACAGAAAAAGGTTGGAAAAGTGCTGTATCAGGGTTGTATAAAACATTTTAAATATGTCCTTTGCAAAGTTGAAATACTATGAATGTGAAACAGTTGAATACTGCATTATATATACTACATATAGTATATACATTATATACTATAGGGAGAACAGAGAGAAAATGGCAATGAAAACAGGGAATGAACTAAAAGTTATGTTTCCAGCATGGGTCTGGATTTAATTACATTATTACATTAAAGGGCTGAGAGAGCCAACAAGAAAACAAAGGGTTTAATATATTCAATTTTTCTTCAGTTTTCTCCAAACAGAACAGAAGAGTCCAAAAGAGTGAACTATGTTGGGTTTCCCCATTCTACTTTCTGGTCAACCACTGGCGTAACACTTGGTACATTTGTCTGAAAAAATAACAAGAAGCTTTTATTAGGTCATGAACTAAATGTGAAAATAATACAACATAGTAAACTAAGGTTGGATTTAGGCTTATGCAACAAACCAAAGTTGACAAGTTCAATGCTTATTTTTGCATAATATATATCAAAACAAATAAACCATGGCTTATTGTGTTAGCCTGAGCCACATAACCTTAGTGCAAGGCAGGGGTGAAATGCTACCAATTTGGCCTGGTTCGGCTGAACCGATAGCGATGGCGGCGGGTGGTTCAGAGAACTGGTAGTGATGGTAGCGCGAGGCTCCGCCCACCCATTGTTATCTCCTTCCTAGGCCTTTTTGGTGAAGATAATGGCAAAACTAAATCTCAGCAACATCAAACTAAGCCAACTACAGGTAGTCCTTGACTTACAACAGTTTGTTTAGTGATTGTTCAAAGTTACAACAGCACTGCAAAATGTGACTTATGTCCATTTTTCATACTTACGACCTTTGTAGCATCCCCATGATCATGTGATCAAAATTCAGGTTCTCAAAATTCAACTGGTTCATATTTATGACCTTTGCTGCGTCCCAGGGTCATGTGATCACTTTTTGTGCCCTTCTCACAAACAAAGTCAATGGGGAAGCCAGATGCACTTAACAACTAGGTTACTAACTTGTCCGCTGCAATGATTCACTTAACAACTGTGGCAAGAAAAGTCGTAAAATGGGGCAAAACTCATTTAACAAATGTCTCACTTAACAACATAAATTTTGGGCTCAATTGTGGTCGTAAGTCGAGGACTACCAGTGTTTGCCCCCTTTGCCATCTGTGGATACATGGTATTTGCACTGTAACAATAATATTAGGTGGAAAAAATAATACTAATCTCTGAAATATGATATCCTATGCATGTTTGTCCTTGCAATATTGGGTTGTAAAAACTGTTTATCCATGCCACTGCAAATGTAATAAAAAGTTTTGATCATGCTTACTGAAGGATTGCTGATGGGTAAAGAGGTCACCATAATCTTAGAAACCTCAGGTGGACTCTCTCTGTTGCAATAGATCCAATGCCAGTATGCTTCTCTCACCTGAAAATCCAAAATTCAAAATCAGAAGGAGGAATCGTCTACTAGTCTCCTATTAGAGCGGGAAGCCCTCATTTAGCAACCATAATCAGAACTGACAACTTGGCCTTTAAGTGAAGTCGTTGCTAAGGGAAAGTATGCTGTGCTTATGACCTTATTTCAGCTTTTCTTTGCTTTACAGTTTTGCAAAAGTTGTAAATTACACAATTGGTCACAAAGTTACTTTTTTCATCACTGTTGTCATAGCAAAAAGAGGCGGTCGCTAAATAAGAACTACCTGTATGTTGAAATATTCCAAAACAAAAGAATCAAATCAGCTTTAGTTTGGTTTGTGGATTTGTTTGTGTTTGTGTATATTAGTAAACAAAGTAATTAATCTGCAGTGTTCCCATTGCAAAGAGGCTGTTGTGATGCATTTTTCTTCTATTTCCCTAGTTTGTTTATTTTCTCTAAAGGAAAATTAAAGATTATACACATTTTTGCCATTTCTGAAACCTCCGGTAATGTCTGGTTGTATAATGATGGATAAACGGTTAAGAAGATACCAAAATAAAGAGACTGTACATATTTTGGACAGCCATTTAGTAAATTCCGTTACTGATCTGTCTATAATCTCCACTGAACTTCACAGAGACTAAATTATACCTGTGCTTTCTGAACAGACTAGGTAAAAGGATAGATAATTACACATGAGGAATAGATGAATTCAGGTACAAATACAAAATCTGAAGCCTGGAGCCACTTTATATTTAGCAACAAACAGCCTCCAAAAAAACAACAACCCCAAAACCAGAACCCACCACTTTGCAATATTCCAGAAATGTTCAGTGAAAAATGAACACATTTCCACATAGGCATGACAAATATGGCTTCAGATTCACAAGGGACGCAAATATGCCACTCCATACCAATCAGTTAGTGGTCCCGCTGCTGACTATAACGGGAAGGATTTATGCCAAGGGAAGTCCAGTTTATTTGCAGAGTGAATTTGAAGTAACATTGGTTACTACCACATTTTTTATCTGTAGCATGGACAAGAAATTGGGAGTGGGAAATGGCTCTGACTATTCTTGTACCAGGAGCTCACAAAATCTTGAACCCAGTCTGGAAAACTTGAAATATTAGGTTGTTTGTGTGGTAACTTACATTCCTGTGCAACCCTCTCATTTTCTACATTGGTGATTCTCAGCCAGGGGTCATATGGATATTTCAAGGAGCACAAAAGTGAAGAACACATAAGAGGAGGCCACAACATATGCTGAGATATATAAAAACTGGGAAAATGGCAATCTTTTTCATCAATAATGTGACCCAGATAGGGGACCATAGGGAGGAAAAGATTGAAAAATATTGCTATACAACACCTTTTGGTTGAGCAAGCAGTGCACCAGGAAAATGAAGATTCCTTGCACACTGTTGGTGATGGTGAACAGATATGCCATAATGTCTTCCACAGGGCCATATTGAAAGAGGCCAAAACACCAGGTCACACCCAGAATGATCACATGGGCTATAGCCTTAAAGATCAGTGACCTACAACAAAGGCAAGAAATCAACAGGGAAATGACACTGCTGAAAAGAGAGCATCTGAATCAATCTAAAGCAGGGCTGGGCAACTATGACAACTTTACAGCCTGTGGACTTCAACTCCCAGAATTCCTGAGCCAGCATCTCTCAGTTCTGGGAGTTGAAGTCCACAGGTCATAAAGTTGCCATAGTTGCCCAGCCCTGATCTAAGGTAATCCTCTCTCTCTCTCTCTCTCTCTCAACTGATTCTGTGGTAGGTTGAAACCAGAACTTTCACTTCATAGGAGAGGATGTAAATGAGACATGTGGAGCAATGGGAAATGGCTAGAGTTGATTGTGGCCATAGTCAAAGAAGAAGAGGAGGAATGGGAAATTAGTACAGTAGGCCATTATCAATCACTTGGAGTTTCCCCTTTGCTGAGACAGTTCACCTAACATCTACTGCTAATATCCAAGATTAAGATCACTGCTTTGATATCTGATGACAAAATGCTTAGTTTAAAATCAATGAATATTGAGACATCCTACTTCATATTGTACTTATGCTTCAGTAAAGTCATTGTCTTCTACAGATGCCCAACCAATATGTATCCATATAAGATATTTCTGCAAAATGGAGGAACAACCTAGATTCTACAATTTTTAACTCAATGGAAAAAAAGATGCTGACTTCCATCAAGAAAAGGATCCTTTTGCTACTGATAGTTTCTAACCAATTCACCCTTCCCCCAAATTTTGCCAACCTCATGCATACAAAGACCTCAGCACTGTTCTCCACTACATGAATTTCTACATTTGCTCTCGAATGCTCTTCTTACATTGTACAAGTTTTCTATCTCACAATTTGTCATGAAAAAGAATTTTGAAGCATTGTTATTATCCACATTTCATGCTTTATGATACAGTAGATCTTACCTGGTATTTCTGACTGAAGATATTTTTGAATTGAGAGATGACAATTTTTTATGCAGATTCTTCAGAATAAGACAGAAAAACACCAAATTGACCTTTGGGAAGAAAAAAAAATCTTCAGAAAGAAATAAAGTAATGATAACAACAGCAGATAGATAATGTTCTAAGACTAAATAAGATGAAAAAGAGAGAACAATTGTTGGTTTTAGATCGGGGTCCCCAACCCTCAGGCCGCAGCCCATTTAGAACTGGGCTATGGCCCAGTTAAAACCGGGCCACACAGGTCAGCGGTAGTAAAACTGGTGGGAGGCTCTGCCCATTGACCCCAACATCATCAGAATGCTTCACACGTGCACGAGTGAAGCAAGCGCGCATGCGCGGCCCCATTGCGAACCAGTAGTAAAGGTAGGTGGAACCCACCCCTGACGCAGATGGTGTGTGTGTGTGTGTGTGCACACAGACCAGGGGTGAGTTCTACCTACCTTTACTACTGGTTCGCAATGGGGCCACGCGCAGAAACATTCTGATGATGTCGGGGTCAGTGGGCGGAGTCTCCTGCTGGCTTTACTACCGGTTGTATAGAACTGGTCCAAACCGGGGGCAACCCACCACTGACGCAGACCCACTTGTGGAAGCAGCAAGCTCTTGCGGGAGTGATGCAAACTTGCACTCATAGACACATGCTTGTGAGTGGCAGATGCTTGCGCTCACAATCCCTCTGTGAAACTGGGCGCACATACATTCCTGTCCCTCATGCAAAACCATCCCATCTCCCCCCCACTCCATGCCAGATTGCCAAACCAGAAAGGTTGGAGACTGCTTTTTTAGATAGTACATTTTCTTAGCTGATGCTTTTAATGAATGGACATCTAACTCTATTTTAATTACAGATGACATAAAAAAAAAAATAGAAATTTCTGCAAATCAGGACAAAATGAGTTATCTTTTCACTCTCTAATTCATCTTTTCTTTCTTTCCCTAACACCTTATCCTTTAATATAAAATTGCAGCTCCTTGCAAAATATTAGAATTAATTAGCCGAAAGAACTAATTTTCCTACATTTTCAAAAATTTATAAACATGTTCCAACACATTGTAAATATAGAACGACCGACAAGGTTGATGTTTCCATTTTCGCTACCTGAGATCAAGATCTTTTTCTCTTCTCTCTCATTTCAGAACAAAAAGTTATAAAATTCTTTAATTTCTCTACAATATTTGCTCACCACAATTATCACACAGACAGGTCCCATAAAGCTCCAGATAAAATTTGGATTAAGCCAGCAGCTAAAGAAAAAGAAATATCATCAGGAGACATTTAGACAGGTATGCCAACAGTTCAATGTATTATACAGAGTTGTTCTCCCTGAGTTATACTAGCAATTGTGCTCATGGAGTTTACATCTTGGTGGCACCTGGCTGAGGGAAGCAGCTTTTAACCATATGCTAAGACTTACCGATAAAGAGTCCCAAAGGCTCCAGGTTTAATTGCTGCAGAAATAGCTACAATCAGGACAGGACACCCATAACCAATGAGGTACATAGATATCTTCATATACTTGCTGGCCCCGCTGTAATTTGCAACTGTCAAGTTTCTGACAGTGAGGTAGAGATTGACAGCTTCCAAGAACATCCAGACAAAACAGGCCAAAAAAAGATACTTCAGAATTCCAGCTATGACCGAACAAATGATCTGAATCAAAAATAAAATGTTATTTAAATATTCCTTTATCAGCATCTAATTCTTGAATTGCTGGTTTTGAAAGAAAATCAAGAATGGGCTATAAAAAGCAGAGAATGGAACAGATCATATTTGACATTCATGCTTCCACCAGCAGCGCTACAGGTAAAATCTGTGCACCGTATCTCTTCTTTCATATGAGATATGTCACTATCATAAAGCTAACAAAAAAAGCTTAAAAAATGGGTTTGCAAAGAAAACTGACTCAATTCAGTTAATCTATAGAAAAATGAAGACTTCCTAAGTAGGCAGCATACCAGTGTTGAAATCTAAAATTTGTTACTACCGGCTCTGTGGGCGTGGCTTAGGGGGGTAATGTGACTGGGTGGGCGTGGCCATTTTTTTTTTACTTTTAAAACCATTTTTTCGGCCAAGAGGTTGTAAAAAAATGCTTTCAGAAGGCTCTAACAATCCCAGCTGAGTTCAGCTGAGTTGCCTGATCGGCAGAGGCTTTTTTTCTTTTAAAAGCCTCTGCCGATCAGGCAACTCAGCTGGGATCGTCAGAGGCTTTTAAAAGCATTTTTTCTACAACCTCTTCAGGAAAAATGCTTTTAAAAGCCTTTGACGATCCCAGCTGATCCACGCAATCATCATTTTACTTTTAAAAGCATTTTTTCGGCCAAAGAGGTTGTAGAAAAAAATGCTTTTAAACATTTTTTAAAAAAAGCCTCTGATGATTGCGTGGCTCAGCTGGACATGGGGGGGTGGGCAGAGATTTTTGCTACCGGTTCTCTGAACCACCCGCCTCCATCGCTACCGGATCGGGCTATCTGGTCCGAACCAGGAGCATTCCACCCCTGCAGCATACCCAGATGGGGTTCTCTCTCCACTGAGCAGAGCATCACATATTCTTCTGAAATACCTTGTTGCTGGTTTTATCTATTCCAAATATGAAGAGGAGGTCTGCAAAAAACAGGCAGAAGCTCAATTGTAGGTGGATGAAGGTGCTGCTGTTGTGGCTGGAGCGGCAGAAGAGGAATGTGACAATACACACGAAGAGACAGATGACTGAGATGGACAACCCAAGGTAGCTAATAATGGTGAGGATCAGATCTCCCTGTAAACAGAAGACAGTTGTTCTCAAAATCATATGAGCCACCTTTTGATAACGAAGATGTGTTTACACTTTGTCGAGACCATAGATCTGACTTACATATAAAAGCTATTCTATTACCTGACTGCTTTTGTTGTATTGGAAAGGAAGTGTCAAGATCTTTAAATCTTGAGGATTACAAGCATTTCTTAGTTTACTTTTCTATATATGAAAGAAGGGACCATGAATAATTATGGAAAACCCGGCAGCATGTCAAACAGAAAAATACTGCTTCAATGATGAAAATTGTTATCTTCTAGACAGCAGCAGGACACAACAGTAGATATAACAAGTAAGAAAAAAAAAATAACCTGTTGTTTACCACAGTATAATTCTGAGATGTTTTCAGAAGTAACATACATGTTTGTGAGTTGTGGCCATCAGTACAGCAAAACTGGACAGATGTTGACAGCTGCATTCTGTATGGGTGATGTTAGAAAAGAGCTGTTGGCAACCATGATTGGACAAGGCACCAGAAATCCAGTGGACACAGAGAACCTTTTCCTGGGCAACTTTTTTCTGCAAGAGGGAAGTAATGTTGATGGGAGGTAGGGAAAAAAATCTACATATTTACTTTATCTCCTACCGCACCGTTTCAGAGTTATTAAACATTAACAAGGAAACAACTGTAAGACATGCAAAAGGAACTATGTCAACATCGTAGAACTTAAAGACTAGGGGACACAAATACTATTAAATGCATAAACTTCATAAAAGTTGTTAGTGTGAAAAGGTGCTATCAAACTTCTGATTTATAAAGCTTGAATGACAATAAAGTCTACTTAGAACATTTATACAGATTTACATTTTTCTTGATATTCTGCTTTCTTCCTTAATATATATATTCATAAGATGGATAGAAAAAAATGGCTTGGTTTCCAAGGTAGACTTCATTTACATACCTTGAGATGCTGAAAAGTGAGATTGACCGGGGTAAAAATATTCTGTATTTTGCTCCTGGCAGAAACGCTTACCAGCCTAGAGTTCATATGAACATCTGTCAGCGTTTCATTCTCCAAGAATGCTCCATTCTTCAGTAAAGTGTCTTCTAAGAGTGATTTTAGCCCACCATATGATATAAAAGCCACAGCAACAATATCTGCAAGAGACAGAAGGAGGATCGGGGAGACACATAAAACCAAATAAAGTATACATGATTTTCCGAAACTTGGGAAAATGTTGATAATGAAAGGATCAGTGTAGATCCATATATTTACTTTTTGGTAAAATAGGTACTATGGTACCAACTACTTTCTATTCCCTTTCACCTTTCCCAATGTGGATTAGATTAGGGATTGCAACTTCCCTAATCTAAACCAGAGTGATAAAACACTCCACAAACTCAAAAAACCTAGGGTTGCAGCTGACAGGGAGGGAGCAATAAAATAGATAGTAAAAGTAATTTTGGATCTACTCTGTAGAAAAACTAAGCTAGTTATGAGCAATACCTGTGGTCATGGCAGCTGCTGTTCTTGGGTGGATGGCCATTCGATCTCCTTGAGCTTTTAACGTGAGTGCTTCATTCTTTTCAAAGGATTTTGGACTGATAAGTTTTGTTTGGATCACTGAAAAGACAGAGAAATGTCGAGTTCCTGAATGGATCTAATGAATTATATCTATCTATCTATCTATCTATCTATCTATCTATCTATCTATCTATCTATTTATCTATCTATCTATCTATCCATCTATATGTACTTATTAAGTATATTATATATATATATATATTTAACCAGAAGCTGATATCAAATAAGAACCACATGCCATAATAGAATGAAGCAAAAATCCTAATTATAGCACTTGCTTTGAGTAAATGCACATGCTTTGAGTTAGAGCCTTACAAGTTGATGGTTCATTCATGAAAAACGCTATTAACTGAATTGATTACAATGCTGCTGGTCTTATTATTACTTGTGATATTAATAAATCTTTTTGTTTTCATTTTTTAATGAATGATTTGATTAATTGTGACAGCTTATTGGAATGTTTCATGCAAAGGTAGGAATCAAATTTAAATGATAAATGAAATAAATAAATTGAAAACATGTCTGAACTCTCATATATAGGTTGCTTTCATTAAAGAAGTCAAAATTGTGAGTTGGCATGTGCACCCCTAGTTGATGAATGAAAGAAGACTCAATACAGGGAATTTGACTTGTACAACATATAGGCAAATGCCTTTCTTTTTTTTCCCCTTCAAAGACAAAGTTCATCTTTCTTTTTCCTTACCTGTGAAGTTTCGAACCACAGTTTGAGAGATGTTTCCTGGATTTGCAAGAGCTGTTAATAGTGCACCTGAGCTTATTTTTTCCGTAATCATGGGCAAAATTGTAACAAAATCCTTCTTTATGTTATTATCCCAGTGAGAGCGATTATCAAAAAGATTTTCAAAGGAATTCACCGAGTCCTGCAGCATTACAAGAAGCAAACTTTTCAAATCTCATTTGAGTTTTTCTCAAGCATTTCATTAAGAATGTTCTTGTCAGGAATTGTAGAAGACACTCAATATACTTCAACTTGAATCTTACACTGTTATATCGCCGTATGGCTGGATTCAGATACCATGCATAGCTAAAAGATGGTTTTATCAGCATAGCCAGAGTGATCATTTTAGAAATCAATGCCAAAACAAACCCTGGAACCCAGTCTGTGGATATAAAAACTTCACCTGCTCATTTTTTCAAATTCAAAACAAAACCTAAAGTTGTGATATCAGTTCCATGAATGACATTAAAAAATTAATTTGAGTGTCCTTTTACTTTTTTGCTGCATTTTTAAAACCTTCACAATTTAGCTTTTGTGGAGTTCTCAGTATAGACTTCATCCGTTTCTAATTTTCATATTAATTAACCCTAACCCTAACTACAGTAGGTTTTGTGCCATCTTAATGTTTAACAGATTAATTATGCACTTTATCAGAAATGGATTCATTTCTCATGACTCAAAAAAGTTTACGCTACAATACAAGAGATGAAGTCCTTTGTTTGGGATCAAAATACTAACATGGTTCCTCAATGGAATTCATACAATCATGGATCTTGTATTCTTGATTATTTGTTAATTTTAATTAACAAAAGTATATATAAAACTTGATTTTGCATACTAAAATTAAATAAAATGTATTTACAAAATTAAAATGTTAAAAAATGGAATCTTTTGAAGTATGGAACCAATTTATTTACTTCTATCTTTATTTATTTTATTTATTTATTGGAATTTGTCAAACAAAAATGAGAACAAGAATAAGAGAATAAAAATACAATGACAGGGACGATAGGCATGTTAGTGCACTTATGCACGCCCCCTCTACTGACCACTTAAGTATGAAGTAAGGTCCACGGAAGTCAATTTGTGACTGAAACTGAAAATTTGTAGCTGAGACAACTGAATCAGGTAGGGCATTCCAGACTTTGACAACTCTATTATCTTATTTTCCATAATTTAGTTTTCCAATTTCATTTCCACTAAACATTGACAAAGTCCCTTCCCTTCCCGATGCCAATCCCATATTGAAACACAGATATTAACTTTTGAATGAAGATTTTCAAATCTTCATTCGAAAAACTGATTTAATTCCTAGAATAATGACCTAACTTTTCCTCTATCCACTCATCATCAATGTACACAATAGGAAACCATACAGTCTTGCTTGTCAGGAAAGAGAAGCTGTGGTCAAATGTTGTCTCTGCAGTTTTCAATAAATCTCACTTTCAGGGTGGCTTCAGTATGCATGTCACTAGCACCAAGAGGATTCTCGAAGTTCAAGGCTGAACCCATCACTGAGCAGTATAAATTCTTTTCCTAAAAGAAAAGGAGAAAGGAAGCACGGTGTTCTCAGAGTTGGCAAGTGAAGAAAGAATCTCTGCATAGTTATTTTGGCTGGGGTCTCTAACCTTGGCAACTTTACGACTTGTGGACTTCAAAAACTGGTAATGTTGCCAAGGTTGGAGACTCCTGATTAGGACAGGACTGGAGACCTGTAGAAACCATCTGTACCACAGATGCCAGATCAGTTCATCAGACCCTGAAAGCCATGTTAATTTAACTTTCTTTTCTGGACATACTGATCCAGGGCTCTTTTTTTTTTCTCTTCAGAAACCATGTTCTGAACACATATTTTAGGGACTAGCAAACCTTCAGCAGGACTGGAGGTTACCATACATTTCTTTTGAACACTTTGCTTAGCAGTCAGAGATAAAATAAAAATTATACAAATTAGTGGCAGTGTTTTCAATGCTTGTCTTAAACTCTCTTTTAAAGTGATTTTTTATTAAAAAATTGACATCAAGGTTTCTGTTTAAATTAACCAGCAATATTTGACTTTTTTTAAAAAAAATGGATAAGCTTATCCATAATTGGCCACTGTGATCTGCAGAGACTTCAAAGCCACATATGAAGAGGAGTATTGGAGGGCACATATATGCTAAAGGGTGCTCATTCTTTGATTTCTCTGGACATAAATAAGTGGGAATAGAGGCATAGCTAGGCAACTAAGCAGGATGGCCTTGTGGGCAATGATAGAGCCAGCATCAAAATGGGAGGGGGAAAGGATTTAGGAGGTAGGGTCAGACAAGACTTCATATCAATAAGAAGACCAGCAATTACATTACTGGTGTCCCCAAACTACTGCAGAGCTACAGCAAGGGAAAAAAATCCGCCGGTTTTACCATCATCCACATATCCCAATTTCTCTCCCAGCAGTAAATTGACTCCCCTCCCCCTCCCACTTCAAGCTGATAATATGAGCTCAAGCAGGTTCACAATTGATTGTGAACTGCCACAAACGCCACACACAAAGGTTTCTTGTGGTTAATAGCTTGTCATTATTCAAAACACATTTCACATCAACTACTCCAAGTACATAACTCTGGAGCATTGGTAGTATAAACTACCAACTTGGAAGGCAGGGCGGAGGATTTTGGACAATACCTGTATGACAAAATCGCTCAGATCCAGCGGGATTTGGACTCTGACTGGGTAGATCAGGGCAGAGTGACGAGGAATAGTCTTGAGAATGTTATCTGGGAGGAGTTTGACGCTGTGACTCCCGATGATGTGGACAGGATTTTGGGGAGACTTAGTGCGGCCACATGTTTACTGGACCCGTGTCCCTCCTGGTTGGTACTGGTTTCCCGGGAGGTTACACGAGGCTGGCTCCAGGGTGTTATCAACGCTTCGCTGAGTGAGGGCCACTTTCCCGTTGCCTTGAAAGAGGCGGTGGTGAGGCCTCTCCTCAAGAAGCCGTCCCTGGATCCAGCAATATTGGCCAACTATCGTCCTGTCTCCAACCTTCGCTTTATGGCGAAGGTTGTTGAGAGTATGATGGCGCGACAGTTCCCACAATTCCTGGAGGAAACATCTTATCTAGATCCATTCCAGTCAGGTTTCAGGTCTGGGCACAGCACGGAAACGGCATTGGTCGCGTTGGTTGATGATCTCTGGAGGGCTCGGGACAGGGGTTGCTCCTCTGTTCTGGTCCTGTTAGATCTCTCAGTGGCTTTTGATACCATTGACCATGGTATCATGCTGCACCGGCTGGAAGAGTTGGGGGTGGGAGGCACCGTGTTGCGGTGGTTCTCCTCCTTTCTCTCCGACCGGTCGCAATTTGTGTTGGCAGGGGGACAGAGGTCAACCTCGAGGCCTCTTATCTGTGGAGTGCCGCAGGGATCGATCCTCTCGCCCCTTCTGTTCAACATTTATGTAAAGCCGCTGGGCGAGATCATTCGTGGCTTTGGGGTGAGATACCACCAGTACGCTGATGACACCCAGCTGTACATCTCCACCCCAGGCCACCCCAATGATGCCCTTGAAGTGATGTCCCAGTGCCTGGAGGCTGTGCGGATCTGGATGGGGAGAAACAGGCTCAAGCTCAACCCTTCCAAGACTGAATGGCTGTGGCTCCCGGCATCCTGATATAGTCAGTTGACTCCATCACTGACTATTGGGGAAGAGTCTTTGGCCCCCACAGAAGGGGCTCGCAATCTGGGAGTCCTCCTGGATAGGCAGCTGTCCTTGGAGGAACATCTGACAGCTGTAACCAGGGGGACCTTTTGTCAGGTTCGCCTGATTCGCCAGTTGCGGCCCTTTCTTGATCGGGATTCCCTGTGCACAGTCACTCATGCCCTCGTCACCTCTCGCCTTGACTACTGCAACGCTCTCTACATGGGGCTCCCCTTGAAGAGCACCGGGAGGCTCCAACTGGTCCAGAATGCAGCAGCGCGGGTAGTGATGGGAGCAGCATGGCGCTCCCATGTAACACCGCTCCTGCGCGAGCTGCACTGGCTCCCAGTGGTCTTCCGGGTGTGCTTCAAGGTACTGGTTATCACCTTTAAAGCGCTCCATGGCATCGGGCCTAGCTATCTTCGAGACCACCTGCTGCTACCAACGACCTCCCATTGTCCCGTGCGCTCCCACAGAGAGGGCCTCCTCAGGGTGCCATCAGCCAATCAATGCAGACTGGTGACCCCCAGGGGGAGGGCCTTCTCTGTGGGGGCACCTACCTTCTGGAATCAGTTGCCCCCAGAGATAAGGAGAATCTAAGACCTTAGCGCCTTCCGCCGTGCCCTTAAAACCCATTTTTTCCAGCAAGCCGGGCTGACTTAAGAAGAAATTTTAAATGTTTTAATTGGTTTGTATTTTTAATTTTGGGCCAAATTTATATATATTTTAATTGTTTTTAATATTTGTATTTCATGTTTTTTAATTCTGGCTGTACACCGCCCTGAGTCCTCAGGGAGAAGGGCGGTATATAAATTTAAAATAAAATAATAAAAAAAAATAAACAGGTTGATTTTTAAAAAAATGATACAAATTTAACATATAATGTATTATACTTACTGTTTTTTGTTCATTTAAACACTGATTTGAATTGAAATTTTTTTCCACTTCTTTTATTTTGGAGTCAAAGGGATTTTCTGTAAAGGAAAATACAAAACTGTAAGGCCAAAGTGAACTGTCCACTTAAAAAGTTAAAATACTTCGATGGACGGATCTCATGTTCAGGGGGGTAACATTCTGGTCCTTTCCATGTGTATGAAGCAGCTTTGCTTACTTTTTATAATTGCATGAATTACCCCTTCATCCAAATTTTATGCGGCCGCATCCCTTGGAACAAAACAATCATTTTGGAACAAAACTCATTGGAACTCATTTTGGTAAACTCATTGGAACAAAACAATCATTTTGTTATTGTTGAGAGACAAAACACTCTATTACAATTATTTGACCTTATGCAGCTTTATTCAGAAATTAATCTTATTCTCACTTCTAAACAGACAACTTATAATCTAACCAATTATAACAAAATTTATAATGAGCAGTTATACATTTCCAATCTTCCCATTTTACAGTAAACTCTGGAGAAGACAATGGAACTTCATTTATAGAGGATCCTAGAAGAAACATCTTTTCTGGAATCTTCAACCAGGGCTCAGGCTGGGAATGGGGCAGAATTGATTATCCTGGTAGATGACTTATTTTGGGAATCAGGATGGAGTGCATCATTCATGGTCATCTTAGATCTTTCAGCAGCATTCAATACGCTTGACTGTGTTATTTTTCTGGACACAAGGAAGGGTAGGTGTTGGAGATTGTTTCATCTCTTTTCTATGAGTTGTTTTGATCATTAGAACAAATTGTGAGAGATAGATAAGGACAAGGTCTTTACATATTGTCTTTTGTCATCTGGCACCAGGCTACTGTTATTAAATGATTCTTTGTTTAAGAAAGAACAAGGAACAATTTCTCCCTCTTTTTTTCTTCTGCATCCCTCTTTTCAAGGTTTATTTATAAACGTGTGGTTTTTCTATCTTCATATGTTTCTGTTTTACGTCATGAGTATATCCTTTAAAAAACATATGCTTTAAGAAAGGCTCCTGCTGAATTTAAATTCCTCTGGTTGAGGACTGGAGGAATTCTGCAGTTATATCACTCCTTGCTTACTGGGCAATTTCAGCTGTTGTATGGGAAAAAACTTGAAACAGTGGTTGCTACAATATGGGGTACCATGGGGTTCAATCTTCTCCTGCATTCCATTTAATATCTTCCTAAAACTTCGGGGAGAAGCCATCTATCAATTTTGGGTGAGATGTCATCAATATCACTACCCAAATTGAGCCAAGTATACTCTGGTAATCCCAATTTGGTGTCTGGATTACTAAATGGGCAAAACAACTTCAGATTAAATCCCTGCAATTTGAGAACATTGCTCTTTGTTGGGAATAGATGTGGCTCTATCCTGGTTCCAGTTTTAAGTCTTGATAGAGTCGCCTCCCTTGTAAGCAGCAGCATCTGTGCAATTTTAGGATTTTCCTGGACCTACTCTTCCTTCTGAAACTACAAAGAAAAGCTGTAGCCGGGGCTTTGTGCCTATCTCTGACTGATGTACCAGTTGCAGATCTATTTAAATAGGCATGCTCTGAGTTCAGTGACTCATGCCCTTGTCAGCTCTCAAACTGCCACCACATCATCTCCATGAATTTGCCTTTGAAATGATGTGAAGTGCATCATCCCATCTGCTTGCTTGAAGTAGAATATTCATCTATCCTACACCTTTGTTATAATTACAGCATTGGATATGATTTGTTTATGGATCCAATTAAAAACGTTGGTTGTCATCTTTAAAACTTTATGTTGCTAGTCTTCCAGAAAGCTACAGAACTGTCTCTCCTTTGAAGATACAGTCTGCCTGAAGCAGGAAGGAATTTTAAAGGTTCCCTACTCCTTTTGTTTGTTCATTTGTTTGTTTGTTTATGCTGTGAAAGATATTTTCTCCTAAGTTATAGAACTCCCTTGGCTTTCATAAATTGATTAAGACCAGACTGTTCTGCTGTTCATTTATGTGAATTGTTTTTTGTTTTTTTTTAGAGAAAGAGATTGTTAGGTGCTTCTTGCTGCCATTTTATTATATGTACCTTTTGTGAGGCACCTTGCCTAATTTGGAAATGAATAGTATATAAAAGTTCTTGAAGTCATTCGGTGACATTGATTGGAAGGAGAGTTAGAACAGAAGATGCATTTCTTTTTACAGCACATAACTGACCACAAAATCTCGTAGTACTCAGTAACTTGCATGGTTTTGAGAAGTGGTCATCTAAATTCCCACAAAATAGGTTGGATGTTGGATTTGAATTTCATCTTCTGATTGTGAAAACTACAGAGGCATCTGATTGACTGGACAAAATGGAGCTTGGTATAATTCATTGTGGTACTCTTTGTATTAATTTGTAAGAGAAATATTATGTGCAAAAGCCAACTAATCCAATTTTATTTATTTTTCTTCTGTGCTAGAGAGAATGTACCATCTGTGTAAAATTCAAAGTGAAATGTAAGGCCATTGGCTGATTTTAAATGTTGATAATTGCCAGAAGTTTTAACTTTTTATCTTTTAAGAAGAATGCTGTCAGTGAAGGCCTTGCAATCCTTTGCTCTCAAACCCATATTATGTCATAGACCTTTATTAGTTTAAACAGCTGAACAACTCTCCATAATAGAATATTTCATTTATCAAGACATTTGTAGTAGCTGAAAATTACAATTCTATTAGTTCCATTCAGTTAATCTCAAGAAGATGCAATTGAAAATAGTCAATGAATGAATACACTTACTGTCAGGAATATTATTATATGATCCTGGCCAACGGTTTTTGCAATTGCTGCCTGGAAAAATAAGGACATTTTCAGTGACCATATTCATTTTAAGCAAAATTAGACACAGTATTGTGTCTTCCTTCCTTTAAGCACATTATTTAGCATAAACTAACTGAAGATTTTAGGAAGATATAGCTCACTGGCAGGTGGGGGTTTTTTGCACTAAAAATGTGGTCCTGATTTATTTATACGATAGTAGCAGCCAATGCATCTTATTAAAAAAAGGCAGGAGTAACATACTAGGAATATAACAAACTTAAATTCTCTGCATTTTACCATGGTTTTTTTTTTCCCAATTTTTTTTTTATTTTTCAAAACACAAAATATAAAATACATCTTTTTAGAGCAGGTGCTTGTTCCGTCATATAATAAGTACAATTATTAAGATTCCCACAGTCAATTTTGTTCCCATTTTTATCCAATTACATCTTTAAAAAAAAAAAAAGAAAAAAGAAAGAAAAAAATCTTATTCTGAACATTTATCATTCAATTATTTCGCCCAACATTCTAGACTATAAACACCATTCTAAATCTCTATCATTTTAAACAATAAATATTTCATACACATTTCTCAATTTAAGACCCATTACGCCAAATCTATATTTCACCTCTTCTTGATCACAACTAGTATCCAAAACTTATCAAAAAATTATTTCCGTTTTCTCTTAGAATTTTTACAAAATCAATCAACATTTCGCTCTGTAGTTTATTACTTCCAAAGTATTTTATTTTGATTTAGTTACTCCATAGTTATTCTCTTATACTATTAAAATTATTTTGGCTAATTCATAGTTTATATAACTCCAATCTGATTATTTAACTGGTTCATAGTTATATTATTATTCTCCTGTAAAGTTTCTTCCACTTCCTCCTAATTTTATTTTTTAGCTGGTTCACATCTTGATCTGCTGCTTTCCAGCAAGGCTTACCTCCACTCCTGACCTTAAATTATTTTGGCTAGTTCACAGTATGATTTTAACTACACACCAACCTTATCTCCTTTACTCCTCCTATATTTATTTTATAACTGGTTTGCAACTTAAATAGTTGCTTTCCAGCAGTGCTTTCCTCTGCTCCCACCTTTATTTTTAACCGGTTCACAACTATATTTCAATTGTTCCCCAGATATAGTCTCCTCCACTCCTAACTTTATATTTTTTGGCTAGTTCACAGTTTAGCTTTAGCTGTTACCCAATATATGCTTTCCTCCACTCCTAATCTATATATTAATTGGTTCGCAGCTTTACTTTAACTGTCTTCTAGTGCATATTTTCCTCCACTCCTACCCTTATTTTTAACTGGTTCACAATTATATTTCAATTGATCCCCAGGTATAGTCTCCTCCACTCCTACTTTTTTATTTTTAACTGGTTCACAGTTCATATAAACTGTCACCCAGTGTATGCTTTCCTCCACTCCTAACTCTGTTTATTGGCTGGTCCACAGCGTTGCTTTCACTATTTTCCAGCTCATGCTTACCTCCACTCCTAACTCTTATTTTAATTTTTAACAAATTCCAAGTTTTGTTTCAACTGTTTTCTAATATAATACCTTCCTCCATTCCTACCATATTTATTAACCTGGAGCAAAACTCTACTTTAGCTAATTTCCAAAATCATATTTCACATTACTCCTAGTTTCACATATTTAATTGATTAATAACATTTTGTTTTAATTATTATCTTGCTTGCATTTTCCTCCCTTCCAACTTCTCTTATTCAATCTGTTAGCTTCAAATTATTTCACAATGTATTACCCATATTGTTTTTCCATTTATTCTCCTCCATATTTCTAATTTAAAATAGAAATATATTTTAACAAATATCTTCCAATGTCTTAAAAAACCTTTTCTTCTAAATTGTTGACTCTACAGAAAATTCAAAGTTTAAGAACAAGTTAAAGCCTCCAGAGATCGTATTTTTCTTAGATCATTTGTGCTCTTATTTCTTAATCGAATTATTTGTGTATTTATATATATATAAAAACAAGGTGGTGATAGTAACAACAAGGAAAATAATAACAATAGTAATTACAATAAAAAAATAAGGAAGTAATAGAGACATCAGTAAAAAACGAAAGGGGAGTTTAAAAATAACAAAAAAAATTTAAACAATTATATTAGAGAGAAAAGAGAGAAAAAATAAAGAGGGGGAAAAAAAGCAGATGAGAAAAGAGTAAAAGAAAGAGAAAAAAGAAAGATAAGAAATAAAAAGAAAGCATGGAGAAGAAAGAAAAGTATCTCCTAACATTAATCATTCACCCAATAACCATTACATCCATTTGAATCAAAATGTGGCGGTTGGCGCCGCAGACTTCCGGTTGGCGCCATGGGGATACAGATGGGGAAATGACGAGCTCCACGGAGCTCTGCCAAAACCCCGTCTGCCAAGCTACCACCGACAGGTCTTCGGACCTCCCCTGTCTTGAAGGGACAGGGGGACAAGAAGGGACCCCTTGGGTGGCTGAGAGGAACGAGCAGGTTCCTCGGGGCTGGAGGCTTTCCCTTCACGCCGGCGGCAGTGGAACAACAGCCATGGCAGCTGTCCCGAAACCGCAGCAACCGGGAACAAAGATCATGCTGGAGGAGAGGAAGAGAAGTGGAGAAGAACAGGGAGCTTGTATGCTGGGTGAGTTTAACAATTGCCCAGGTGGGAGCTGCCCTCAGATGTGGATTGCAACAAGTGAGCCCCTGTTTTAATAGCAGCTAACAACTACAGGGGCTAAATGACAAAGGACCTGTTTGATAGAAAGCACTTTGTCAACTTGCAAAGCTTTCAAGTTGCCATGAGCAGGAGGGAGGGAGAACTGATAGAGCTGATTGATTTCCCTAACTGAAGTGCATTCCATGCACTTACATTCTTCCTGACCGCAATCAGAAGGAGGGTGTTGGATTTCCCAGCCAGCCAAAGTGGTTAATTGGAGAATGTGATTTATGACATGGCCAGAGAGGAGGGGAGAGACAGGGTCATAGGGGAACGTAAATCTACGTGGGATTAATTCTAACTGCATCCGAATATTGCCGAAATGGTGCTCCTAATAAATGACTGTATTTCTTTTGAAGTTCGGCTCATGGCTCATGAATTAATTAGGGCATCTTTCGGAAACTTCACACACTTATTATGACTGTGGAAATGGCTTAGTTACAATTTTTAAAACTATTTTTATTTTTATTTTTCCTGTGGATACATGAGGCTAGACTGATTTTGTGGAGTGAGACTGGATTATATCTGGGAGAGAGGAAGGAGAAGAGGAAACAACTATGTTTTAAAAGTAAAGACAAAAGACAAACGGTGATGGATAAAATGGCTCCTAGCTCTGAAGTGAAAGTTTGAATCCCAGACTATTTGTTAATTGAAAAGAGAAACTATGTCGCTTGTTACTTGTACTGAACTGACATTGAGAAAAGACTTAGAGACCTTGGCTTCTGATACATAATCTGTTCACTGGAGGACTTATGGAAGATTTGAAAGAAGAAATTGAATGGAATAATGGAAACTGAACTAAATAAAAGTGATTATAAGAGAAAGGTGTGGCAACAAAAGGAAGACATGATCATACCATATATGGAATAGTTCCAGAATTAACTTTGCAGAACTTATAACTTTGATGATATTGAAAGGGAAAAAAAATACATTTGGACAGATTGGAGGGAAAAAAACCAATGGAATAAATCAAGTAACAAGATAGCATTTTACCATGGTTTGATTCTGACTTAACACATGCCAATTTTCATTAAGGAACAGCCAGTGATATGGAGCAAAGAAAGTGTGTAACTTCCGTCAGTCGAGGGGGAAAGGCTCTAAACCGATTTATCAGCAAGTATTCAAGGGTTGTATTAACTGTAAGAAGCAGTTGAGTCAGATACCAACTGTGTATCTGACAGTTCCACAGAAGGGTAGTAGTGTGTAGTTCTGTAGTTCCACAGAAGGGTAAAACATCAAAAGGCCAAACCTGTGCTTAGTATGGCTCAACTTTTTGAAGTAGTCTAGACAAGAAGCACCAACCATGTAATGAAATTATATTTCACTTCACTTGTATGCATTTGGGGATTACATGTGATAAAGGGGCAGACTTAGTTTAAAACTTACCAAAATATGATGCGAACTGACACAGGTAAAAGTAAAATCTTGATTCACCAGATGTTCCTACCGAAGAAAGCAATTCCTTTCAATCTTAAGACAATCCAGCTGAGCAAGACTGCTAGAGTTTCTTTATTGATGTAAGGATATAACCAGCCTTAGATAATTGCTTGTTACATGGGCATGATGGAATATTTATCAGAAAGAATAAAGGAAATAAGAGAATAAAGGAAAGGAAAACCAGAAAGGAAAAGAAAGTTTTTCTTTTCCTAAATTGTGAACTACAGTGATTCACTTAACAACTCTGGCAAGAAAGGTTGTAAAATGGGGCAAAACTCACTTAACAACAGAACAACAGAAATTTTGGGCTGTTTGGGCTCAATTGTGGTCGTAAGTCGAGGACTACCTACACAGATGTTCTGAAAATGTTCTCCACCTAATCTCTACATTAGAAGCCTAACAAGTTTGTATTATTTTATTTCTCAGTCTGATAAAGAGTGTTACAAACCTAAAACTTTCGCAGATTTCAGTTTGTTAATCTTGACAGATCTCTTCCCATAAAATGTAGCTACATGTAGACATGTAATAATATTTTTGTGATCTTTTCAGTGCAGTAGTTTATTTATAAGCATGCATTTTATATTAAAGAAAGGGAAGGTAGCAAGAAGGAACCTTTTCTCAGTTATCACAGTTGTCTGTTTTGTTGAGGAGTAGGAGGGGGATAAATAGCAATATATTCCATAGTTTGGATAGGGTTCCTCTATATAGAATTCAACTTTTTATATCTGCTATAAATTCATTTTAGCAGGAAAAGTAATAATCTGTCAATAAAAATTCCATCCTGAAATAAACATAAGCATGCATGACACATGACACTTTTGATGCAAAACTGGTCATACTGGAAAAAGATATACCGGTATATATAAAATGCACCCATTTCTCTGCAAAAGAAAATTAAAATGTTTTTATTTCAGAAGGTGTATGACTATACTTGCCTATACTAATTGGAGATAACTCTGAAGATGTACCCATATGGTGTTACTATGCAAAAGGGATTTGTTACTATACAAATCCACATTCAGTTTCCCTAAGTTGTCCATCTTTCCTCCTGACTTTTTTTTTTGTGCCACATGTTTTGCACATCTATACCTTCCATTGTACATGGAAACTGCAGTTCATTACAAAGAAATATATATATATTAGCTGACATTTGAACGACAAGCACAATCGGTATTTAGGATCACTTCTTTATACTATTCTTGTGAAGGTAAACAAGTTTTACCTTTTGCATTTGCACAAACGATTGCCAATCCAAGACCTAAAATAAATAAAATTCAATTATAATAATATAAGTATAGTATAATTGTCTTAAAAATGCAAGATCGTCCCCCTTCCTTTTTAACTGAAATAAGTTTGACCTTTGAAATTTCAGTTGCTTTGGCATAAACTTGGATTTGTAATTCCACTTGTATTATGATTCATTTAAAATTGTTATCATCATTGCATCATTACACTGTATAAAACCATCTGCTGGAAAAAGGATTATAACATTGTTAAAATTATTCATTGTGTCAAAATAAGAACATTCTGACTGAATATGAGCACTACATTAAAAGTTATGCTGAAATGCATGAAAAAAATTCCCTTAAGAATTATATAAAGTGTTTTAAATAATAGATGAAAATTCATATGAATTTTAGAGATCTTGCAAAGTACTCATGACTGTTGCTTGTTGAGATCAGTGTCATGTCCTAAATAAGAACAGTCCAAGGCAGCCATATTCAAACAAAGTCTTTTTATTAGGAACATATCCAATTGGCAAGGTCTCGGTGTAATTCTGAATCTGGCCAGCCTCCAGAATTACACCAATATATACAATATATATATATATATATATTAAAAGTTAGAAACATTCTTCTCAGGATCACATTCTCCAATCGGTTCATAGTCCATCAGTCTGGTGACTCCAAATTCCACCTTCCACCATCTGCAGGCACTTTCACTGTTCTCACGGGAAGGAATGCCATCTACCCATAACAATCCCCTTATCTCGCCTACCTCCCTTCTTGTTACCAGACGTGGTGAGCTTGAAGCACTGTTAATCCCCATACAGCATATTGAAAGAAGTAGGAAAGAATATGCATAAGAAATGACTACAATTTAAAATGGCTACGCATATTTCAGCTTCAGGGTCGACAATCAGAAGGTGGTGTGCTATGCACAAAAGAGGAGCCATGAGAAACAGATTAGAGTTGGAAGGGACCTTGTAGGTCATCTAGTCCAACCCTCTGCCCAGTGCAGGAGACCCTGAGAGGCTCCTTAGCAGGAAGTCTATATAGAGTTCAAAATATCTGTTGATATTGAAGGTAAGAGTTAATGGAAATTAAGTGTGGTTGGAAATCCTACTTTCTAGCAAAGCTAAACCATATGGCACAAGTGATCGTTGGATTGTAGCTTTTTTAAACTACCTATTCAACTGAACTGGTAGCTAACTACCGGTTCGCCCAAACCGGTAGCTTTTTAAACATACAGCGCGCGTTTGGTGTGCACTGTACTCCACACTGGTCCACACTGTGCATGCAGCACGACCGGCGCAGCACGACCGGCGAACCGAGAGCAAACCGGTTCAGATTTCACCACTGGGTTGGACTTAGACTACTTGTAGCAATGTAATGACTCCAGGCTGATTCCTCTCTTTACTCCATCCCCAGGCTTTACTTCTCCTTCTTGTACATTCATGAATGAAAATAGCAGTATGATTACGTGGAAGAATTAAGATTGTAAATCTTCCAGTATTATATCAATATTGATTCTTCTTAAATTTTTAAATAGTTATGGATACAATTTTAGGGATTAGTCGGAAATTGCTGAAAACAAACTGTTCCAAGCCTTCAAAATCAATGAAACTGCCCCTGCTTAACCACTCTCCCACCTTCCATTCTCCACACTCCCCCACCCTAAAATTTCCTAAAAATTCTGTCTTCATTGGACTTTTTGAAGGAAGCTCCCAGGTCTTCTATGACCTTAGAACTTCTTTTAGGAGTAGATTTACTAAATACTGACCTAAAGTTTCTGATAATGACCATTTTGGCTTGCAGAACATGATACAACACAACTGGGTAGAAATACTTTAGCTGTAATATACTGTACTCAGAGATGTCTGGTAGGGCTGAGACATGGGCAGTTTAGCCTTAGCACCAGAGAGCCAAAGTGAGCCAAATACTCACTCCTCCATTCTCAGCAATTGCTTTAAAGCTGAGGTGCCCTAAAGCAGCAATGCCACCAATTGGTTTCTCTTGTCTCAGTACAAATTTTTCCCATTATATGGAACATTCCACCTGGAATGTATCTGCTATACCAATGAGCTATTATCTGATTTCCTTAAACCAGGAATTGTCTACTCACCCAGAACGATGCAAGTGAGAAGATTCCTCATTGCCTTCTTGTGTGAGTGAGTGAATTAATGACTAATTTTAACCTTTCTCTTTCTTAAGAGGTAAAGCATAAAGGAACTAAAAAGTGCTATGAATAACCCAGTGCATTAATATGCATTTCCTATAAGGAAAGGGTGGGCAGAATATTAACCAGCACAAAAAATGTTACTGACTTCTGCTCTTAAAGTCACGCTTTAAACCTATGAGTTATTTTTATATATACCCAGACTTGCTGGCTGGGGATTTCTGAGATTTGAAGTTCAAATATCTTAGTTGCTAAGATTGAGAAACACTGACACACGTAATGATTCTTTTCAGTGCAGTTGTTTTCTTACATGTGTTTTTCTTCAGAATTGCCAGTGAATAAAAAATGGGAAGCTGACAAAAAGGAAGTTTCTCTCAGGTATTACATTTGCCTGCTTTTTTTTTTTTTTTTTGTAAATATTTTTTATTTTTTTCGAACATAAACATAAAATATAACTTTCAAGAACAGAGTCTCGATCTGGTCATAGATGGTTACCACGCTTACATTCCTTTAACAAGCTCCATTCACAATTTCCTATTACATCTTTTAAGAATAAAAATTCAAAACATAAAAGAACAAATTTTAACATAAATTCTAGCATCTTCATCTAAACAAATCCATTATCTCATAGTCTCCTCCTAAACCCCCTCCATTGTTTGGCTGATTTCCAGCATAATCTCCTCCAACTCTCCTCCTATTTGCTTGGCTGATTTCCAGCATTTTATTAGCTGATTTCCAGCATATTATGTTTGGCTGATTTCCAGCATAGTCTTCTTCAAGGCTCCCGGTTGCCTGCTTTTTTGAGGAGGGGGAGGGGACTGTAGCCATCAAGTCAATAGATACAGAGAGGCTACCACTCCCATACGGAAGCCTTGTCCCAATTACCAAAATACCCCCAGCTTGGTCAGTTGCAAAAAGACTCCTTCCTGCCTCACCAGATTGACCAGATACATCAGTAACCTATGGACTCTGCTCTAAGTGGGAATACAGTAGAATCTCTGGTCACGACCATAATTCGTTACATAATTTTGGTCGCAAACCGATTTGGTTGTGACCTAAACCTAATTTTGGAAATTTGCTGCTTACAAAAAAATTGGCGTGGAAGGGGAAATCAGCTGCAGAAAAAAAAGTGAATTTTTTGGTCGGAACCCTATTTGGTCGTGATCAGAAGCATTCGTGACCAGAGGTTCTTATGTATACAGAAGTAAGATGGATACCCCCCACATTTCTATCCTCTACTGCCAGAATCTACTGTGAGTAGCTATATTTCAAAAATTTATCATCTATCTATCTATCTATCTATCTATCTATCTATCTATCTATCTATCATCATCTATCTATCTATCTATCTATCTATCTATCTATCTATCTATCTATCATCTGTCATCTATCCATCTATCATCTATCTATCTATCTATCATCTATCTATCTATCTGTATAATGTCTACATTTACATCTCTCTTTCTCTCTCTCTCACATCCATCTATCTGTAGCTCTATCTATCATCTCCAACTACCTACATTTATTGAAGATTACTTCCTGAACATGAATACATACACAAGGCTCCTATTCATAAAAAGGGTAATATATCACTTAGGAATCCGTGCATAGAAGTACACATTCTGTCTTTCTGAGTTCACTTTCCATTCTGACTTTTCAAGCACCACCTGTTATGTATAGATTCCTGGCTGATACATCTAACTTCTAGTACACATGGAGAGGAACAGTGGTGGGTTGCCCCCGGTTCAGACCAGTTCTATAGAACTGGTAGTAAAACCGGTGGGAGGCTCTGCCCACTGACCCAGATGTCATCAGAAGCAATCTGCACATGCACGATATGAACCAGTAGTAAAGGTAAGTAAAGGTAAGTAGAACCCACCCCTGGAGAGGATGTACAATTTCATGCGTCATTTTTGTTCCCAGCCTGAACACAATTATCTGAACTAGCCTCTGCCTCTAATTTTAACCATAGTCTTCGCATCTATTTAATCTGAGTCCTATAGGTAGACAATATGACATAAATTGTAGTTCATTGCAAAAAATGAACTGAGCTGACATGCAAACTATAGCTCAACAAGCATTTAGTATCACTTCTTTCTCTGAAAAGATAAATAAGTTGTACCTTTTTTGACTGTATAAATCATTTATAATTAATACCTAAAATAAATGAAATGGAATTATAATAGTATACTGTATGCTATAATTGTCTTTATAATACACTTTAACAAAAAAGGTACAACATGACAATTTGATTTGGTCAGTGGCAATATAAAACAATTTCTTTCTTCCTCTTTTTCTTCCTCTGACTATGGTTTGTAGGAGTGAATAAATAACCGATTATTACAGCTCTGACAATAAGATTTAAAGAATAAAGGAACTAAAAAGTGCTATAAACTTTGTATTGCATTAATATACATTTCCTAAAATCAGAGGGAGGTGTATTAACATTCATTAAAAAAATACTAAAAAATTATTCACTTAGTCAATCCCAGGCTTCAATTAGAGCCAAAATTCTTCATGAAAAGTCAAAGTTTGGCATCCTCTTCATCTCTTTAACAATTAAAATGTCCACCAAATTTATGTTAACATGTATAATTATTTGAAACCAAAAATTAGCTACGAAGGAATCTTGTGAATTAAATACCATGCTTTCAAATGTCTTACCACTCTAGAAAACAAAATCTAACATCTACTTTTTTTAAAAAAAAAAAAATATTCCTTGGGAATTTCCCATGAAACAACATTTCTGATGACTGAACCTCATCCCTAAATCTTGGAAGTACATAAGTCTTGAAGTCCTGCTCAAAAATAAATGTCGAATTGACTATTGCTACCCAGAATATTCAGTTTTACATACATAAGCAGTGATTTTCTAAGGCAAGGAAACACTGAGTTGTTTTTAATAGTCCCACTTAATACTTTTTAAATACAGGAACTGGACAGCATGGCTGCACTATGTATACTGGGTAAGTGTTTATTTGTTTGTCTGTATGTCAAACTAAGAATCACCTCCCTCCCTCCCACCCAGAGAGACTGTGGAATTTATTAGGTCTACTAAACTTGTGCTTTACACGAGAAGGATACCAGTGTGTTTCAAGCTATTTTCTTTGTCGCCTGACAGGATCCCTGCACCTCCTTCTTTAAAAGAAATCAATACATAGAAAAGGAAAAAAATGGGGATATTTTATAAAGTGAGGTACAGCATCACTGTGATTTTCAAGAAAGACACTGGACCCCTAAGGGACGCTAACAGCATATTCAGAAATAAATATGCCTCTAGCATCATTGTTAATCCAGAAGAATATTCTCAGAATAAATTCATATTCTCAGAATAAATGTCGAGGGATACAGTAATTGCAAATATATCCATCTATCTATCCGCCAGCCTTCTTAGATTGATTGGAAAATCATGGTTCAGGGGATCAACCTGCTAAGAAAACTTACACTGGGAAATGTCAAATTGTTGGACAACCATTTATCTGAAATGGTTTAGAGTTTCCTGCTTGAGCAGGGTGTTGGACTAGAAGCAGTGGTGAAATTCAATTTTTTTTATCACTGATTCTGTGGGCGTGGCTTGGTGGGTGTGGCAGGGGAAGGATACTGCAAAATCCTCATTCCCACCCCACTCTGGGACCAGCCAGAGGTAGTGTTTGCCAGTTCTCTGAACTACTCAAAATTTCCACTACTGGTTCTCTGTACTACTCAAAATTTCTGCTATTGATTCTCCAGAACCTGTCAGAACCTGCTGGATTTCACCCCTGACTAGAAGATCTCCAAGGTCGCTTCTAACTCTGTTATTCTGTATATATTTAGCCCCCAGTGTGGGGAAACAAGTAAAGAGGAAGTATACACAGCCACAATGAAACTCCAGTTTACCTTAACCAGGTTGGTGCATAGGGTTGAACTCTGTCTTAAACATACTTGGAGTTGCCTATTTTGGGAACAAAGAAAGTGTGCAAGAGAAGACTTTCTGACCAATTGAAGATTGGACACACTGTAAATGAAGAGGAGGAGGGAGTTGTCAGCATCAGGAACTACAGGGGAAGCTGCTGATTATGATAAAGATGCTGGGCAGTCTGAGATTTGGATAGTTTTTTATTAGCAAAAGAATTTTGGGGAAAGCCTGAGAGTGTCTGAAGATAATGAGGGTACTTTTTTATTTTAAATAATTGATTTTCATCAATTATCATCAGCCTTTCTGAATAATCATAATTTGAACACATGTTAAGGAGAGGGCTTTTTTTCCTTATTCAAAACTACATTACATATTTAAGACAAAGACATGTTTCACAATAAAGCTCTCTTTCTATTTTTCAACGTTTTGTTGGGGGGGGAAAATTTACTGAACCGTGACCAACGGAAATAGGCACCAGCTGAAACATTGTACAACCTTATTTGGTTCCTCATATTTTCTTCTTGTTTTCTTTTTGTGAAATTGATGCTCATGATTCCTCAGTGCCTCGTGGTGGGTATCATAATGTAAGAGGGTTTATTGTCAGTAGACAGACAGTGCAGATGATCAAAAGTGTTTAATATCATCCAGTGATGTCTTGATTGCATCCTAAAACCAAGTGATGGACAGTAAACGCGGAACTTTTCTCTCTCAGCACAGTTTGCTATTTTCTACAGTGACCCTTTCAGTAAACAGAATCTTTCCGGTGAAATAGTTGAGAATAGTGGTGGAGCAGTGGTTAAAATGCAATACAGGTAGTCCTCGATTTACAACAGTTCACTTAGTGATGGTTCGAAGTTACAACGGCACTGAAAAAAGTGACTTAGGACCATTTTTCACACTTATGACTGTTGCAGCATCCCCATGGTCACATAATTAACATTTGGCAGCTTGACAACTGACTCACATTTATGATGGTTGCAGTGTCCCGGGGTCATGTGACCATCTTTTGTGACCATCTGACAAGCAAAGTCAACGGAAAAACCAGATTCACGTAACAACCTGGTTACTAATTTGAAAACTGCAGTGATTGACTTAACAAATGTGGCAAGAGCCTTGGTAGTACAGTGGTCTAAAGCACCCTGTTATTAACACAGCTGCCTGCAATTACTGCAGGTTCGAATCTCGCCAAGGCTCAAGGTTGACTCAGCCTTCCATCCTTTCTAACGTAGGTAAATTGAGGACCCAGTTGTGGGGGCAATAAGCCGACTTTGTATAAATATACAAAAGGATGAAGGCTATTGCTGAGCACATTGTAAGCCGCCCTGAGTCTCCGGAGAAGGGCGGCATATAAATCAAATTAAAAAAAAGAAAAAAAGAAAAAGAAAAAGTGTAAAATGGCGTAAAGCTCACTTAACAGATGTCTCACTTAGCAACATAAATTTTGGGCTCAATTTATTATTATTATTATTATTATTATTATTATTAATAATAATAATAATAATAATAATAATAATAATAATAATAATAATAATAATAATAATAATATTTCTATGCCGCCCACTCTCCGAGGACTCTGGGCGGCTTACACCAAAGACAGTATACTAAATAGCATATTGCCCCCAACAATCTGGGTCCTCAATTTACCCACCTCGGAAGGATTGAATGCTGAGTCAACCCTGAGCCGGTGAGATTTGATCCGCTGATCTGCTGAACTAGCAGTCAGCTGAAGTAGCTGCAGTACTGCACTCTAACCACTGCGCCACCTCAGCTCTTTTTTGTGATTGTAAGTTGAGGATCATCTGTATTGTAGGCTAACTCACTGCTTACTGCCAGGAGTTCGAATCTTATTAGGCTCAAGGTTGACTCGGCCTTCCATCCTTCCGAGGTCGGTAACATGAGGACCCAGATTGTTAGGTACAATATGCTGACATTGGTAAACTGCTCAGAGAATCCTGTAAAGCACTATGAAATGGTACAGTATATAAGTCTAAGTGATATTGCTATATGTACTATATGTGAAGGCAGAGAAGCCAGTTATCTTATTCATAGTGTGTATATGTGTATGTGTGTGTACATAAGGGGGAAATATGATCATAAAGTTTTGATTGTTAAAACAAGATAAATTTTCACCAAGTACATATGGAAGTCCTGAAAAAATTGTACAACTATTTTCAATCACTTAGAGATTCTCACATTTCAGTAGGACTTGGTTTCTCATTAGGCCTACAGAAAACCAAGCAGACCTTGTCAATGTTGTAAATTCCCTGAAAAAAATGTTTGGTGATTCAGGATTCAACCTTGCCTCAGATAATTACTCTATAAATATTGGCAGGTATAATGAAATGCTGTTGCTCCTACAGAAGAAATTAAGGGTGGGAAAAATTAATAATGTTGGTTGTGCATTTTGTGCGAAAGATTAGAACAACTTTATTTTGATTCTTATAATTCATGTTGGATCTCTGCTATAATTCTGAAAAAGTACCAAAAATATAAGAACCTGTTTAAGAATATATATAATACAGTAACCAGAAAGATCTGTAACATGTTACAATTCAGTGGTGGTATTCAGCCACCTGCCTGGACATCATCATGTCCCATTTTTGACGCACTGCACATGCGCAGAGGTGGTCCTGCGCATGCACACATGCCCCCATTTGCGAACCGGTAGCAAAGGTAAGTGAATACCACCCCTGTTACAATCTGATGGTTAAGCATCTATCCATATGGAAAAATTCTTAATATTTGAAGTGGCTTTAAATGCTGTTCCATATTTCATATGGTATTAATGAGCCCACCCCACCACATTTCCAAAAATGGGAGGTACTGAGAAGTTGTTTGGGATCTGAGAACAAAAACAAGCATATAGTTTCACGGCAAAAGTATATAAATGGTTTGCTTTCTTTCTAGAAAATATTACTTCATCATAATGCTGCCATATGGACCTTAATTATATTAAGTTGTTCTTCCTATTTTAGAACAAAGATGATATGGCTGTCTTATCTCTTAGGAAGACCTTCAGAAGTGAGATCAATGCCTGTTTATAGGTTTCACTGCATTGTAAAGAAGCTGGATCTTGGTGGATCATCTAAAACTATGTTGAAAAAGAGAACTCTTTAAACTATCTTGTTGAATATAAAGCAAATATTCACAACCAATAAAGAAGGACTGAGGGCAGCAGATACTTTTCAAATATTTCCTAATATTCTACTATAGAAGATAATTATCTTCATGTGGCATTCATGCAGTGTCAGACCTTTGTAAATATGAATTGCCTTAAAAATAGTTAAGAATTTATCCCAAATGGTAAGATACCAGCTACTGAATAACTGAAGTAAACAGCACTGTCTTATTATCCTAATTCCCTCCTCCCCTTCCATTCAAATTCTCAGAGACTGCTTGGACGGATTCCTACATTTTGCTTAGCAGGGTGCCTCCTTCCTAAGGCTGAGAGAAAGTGACTGGATCAAAGTCTCCCAGATGGCTTTGTGGATACACATTGGACAATGAGGGACTAGAATTCACAATCTCCCAGTTTCTGGCCGAATGCTTTAACTATTACAATGAACTGACTCTCAAATAGGTATTACACTCATGCTTTCTCTAAAGACATTTTCAACGTTGTGGTGATGATGATAGAAATTGGATACTCTTAGGGAATTCAGAGTATGTTGTAGCCAGATTGTACGCCAAATACAAAGAAAAAAACTCTGTAGTAATGGTATTCATCATCAATACGTATATCCAAGAAATAGATTTGTACTGACTAATCCATAAAGTAAAATTTGCTACACACTATATAGAAATTTGCAGTTTTAAAAAAGTTTGTTTAGAGTTCAGTTTGCTTATTAAAGACATATTGCCCGATATTGTTTAGGCGTATTTCTTGGTTTGGGTTTATGGGACAATGGCTCCCAAAGCAGCCCCATAACTGGCTTTGTAGTATTTATCCCTTTATGATGTTATGGTTGGAAAAAAAAGAGGATTTATTTGCTGAGACACTGAGCTTGTTGATCAGAAAGGTCGGCAGTTCGGCGGTTCGAATCCCTAGTACAGGTCTCCTGCGTGAGCAGGGGTTTGGACTAGATGACCTCCAAGGTCCCTTCCAACTCTGTTATTGTTATCTCCCTCTGACCTTGTGGACATGACAGAGACCAGGTCCAGTTTCCCCGTCTATGAAGTTCCAATATCTCTAAGGAAATTATTGCCTTTCCAGAACAAAGCCTTACCAGAAAGAAAGAAAAACTACTTGGTTTAACAAAGGCAGAACGAAATTGACTTGAGCCAGCAGAGATTCAGCCCCATATAACTAAGGCAAACTTGATAAGGAAAATGTCAACAATGTAATCTTGTAAAGCTATCCTTGAAGTATGTTCTCCTGGTTTTATTGTAATGTGTATATATATACTGTATGTTAGATGCTTGCTTTAGAGTGATCTTATTGAGTGAGCCGTAGCCTTTGATTGACATTTGCGACTTTCCTTGCCCATTTCCCACAAGCAAAGTCAATGGGAAGGCCAACAGATCTGGCTTCCTGGATAATTAGCAGCCAATTAGAGTTTATATTAGAATCAATCCATCAATCAGTCCAAATTACTTCGGGCATCATTATCATTCTATTTATCCTACAGCTGGCATTATAATTTGAGGCAGTTCTACAAAGTGACTTGACATTAAAATGGAATAATAGCTGCAGCTAATAAAGGTAACCAAAAATACTCAGTGACATATTTAAATATGACTGATATTTAAAATACCAAAATTCACGTGCATGATGCATTATGGTGTTGATGAGCTTTGGACCATAAACCTCAAGATACTTTCTTGACTTAACCACTGGGAATATACAAAGCAAACAGACAAATGTAAAGTATATAATTGTACATTTATAAAAGTCCTGAAAGGGAAGGGAAGGAAGTAAATAATAAATATATTAAATGTCAGACAGTGAAATTATAAATTCAAGTACTTAATATATTATTCTTATTATAAAGCAAAACAATAAAGTTTACCTACATGGAGTATAAATCACTTAACTTCAATGTCTTAGCCAGGGGTCTGCAACCTTAAACACTCAAAGAGCCATTTGGACCCGTTTCCCACAGAAAAGAAAACACCGGGAGCGACAAAACCCTTCCTGTGCCTGACTATTTCTTGAGCGGCCCCAAAACTAGCATATGTAGTTGAATTTAACATTCTGTTTTCTTCTAAAACTTTTATTTTCTTGGATTTATCCATGGTTAGCCTACTGGGGGTTGAAAAGCTCAATAAATCATGTGCTGGCAGATGTCGCACATTGGTGGTTGTGATGCATATTTTGAGTGACAGGGAGCCGCAGCAGAGGGGTTAAAGAGCCGCATGCGGCTCCAGAGCTGCAGGTTGCTGACCCCTGGTCTTAGCAATATATTGTTCCTTAAAAACCAACAAAATTATGGCAGAAGAGTGTTCTATGCATTCCAACAACACAGGAAAGAGCCATATCTTGAGAAAGATGTATCGTAGTTAAGATGGTTCAAAGAATGACACTTGGTTTACAGTGTAGTCACAAGTGAAACTGCCTCTTTAAATAATTTGCAGAACATTATCAATATCTACCTGAGAAATAAAAACATTTTATCCAATACTCTATCTACAAAGATATTAATGCATAAGAAGGCAATCCATTAGGAAAAGTACTGATAATATATTCATAATATATGAAAAAGAGATTTAAATTCATCCTGCATTATAGAGTTATTCAAGGCTCTGTGTTTTTAATTTAGTTAACAACATATCCAGTTGATATTATAGTTAGTGGCAAGCAGATTAGCTGCCCCCTCTATATTTTCTTTTACCACCCTATTTCTGGTTAAGTGAGTTAAAACAAGGAATGGGTTGGGGGGAAAAAAGTTCTCCACATTGGAGACAATGTGGCTCCAGAGATCAGCAAGGAAAGAGAATTAAAAGTGGCTGACTGTATCCCAATTTTCTTCAGTTTCATTCAACTGAACAAAGAGTCCAAAGGAGAGACAGTGTGCTATCGTTGTTCTTCCCATTCAATCTTCTGGTTATGCACTTCATTAATAGATGGTTCATTTGCCTGGGAAAAAAACAATAACCTCTAAAAGTTTGCTTTAGAATGAGCAAAAGGTAAAAACAATATACAATAGTAAATGAAGACTGGGCTAAAATCTTTGTTTACTGAGCAAGCTAAACTAAAGAAAACACAAATGCTATCTTTACATGGCACAGTATAATATTTTTTTATCATAATCTAGCAACAATCTCCACTTTTTAACAACTTGCTCAGATGCTTTTTGCTTTTAAGTGAAATGACAGAATTTTTGTGGGTAGGCGGAAAAAGTTCAATTTTCAGTTAAAAATTAGGACTTTGTAGAATCTGCTAATAAGTGAATGCATCCCCTACATAATTTCCCATCAAATGTCAGCTCTCTAAAATATTTGAATCAAAGGTAGAAAATATTATTTTAGCTAATGGATTAGTTCAGCCCTCATTTAATGAACGTCTCCTTTAGCAGGAGTTTAAATTTTAAACTCCATTAAGTTTGCTTTAGTCTGCAGTTACAATGATGAAAAAGTAACTTTGCGACAAATCCTTACATTTATAACCTTTGCAGATCTGTAAAGCAAAGAAAGGCTGAAATAAGATTATAAACACAGTTGCAGTTTCACTTAGTGATTACATCACTTAACAATCGAGTTGCCAGTACAAATTGTGGTTTCTAAATAATAATGAACTGCCCGTATTTCCGAATTTCTCTGGCACAGCACCAAAAGAGGAAAAGAAGACCTAGAGCCGGTATTTCAGAAATTCATGTAGTCAATCCAAGATAATCCAGTTTTCTTCCGCTGCCTGCTGTTTGTGAAAGATGGTGTTTGCAATGTAAGAATGAAATGGGTTAGAAAAATGACTTTATTCATGTCCTGGACACTATAGATACTGCCTGTAAAAGGCACCAAGGCTGGTTACCCCTACACTGTAAGTTTGATTAAATATATCGGTCTCACATCTATCTTACCAAAGAGTTGCTGATGGGAACAGAGGTCATAGTTATCTCAGAAACAGGAGGTTTGATGTCTTTGTTGCAACATACCCAACGCCAGTAAGCTTCTCTCACCTGAAGATCCAAAATACGAAGTCACTCAGAAGAATAATCCTCAGTGCAATAGCCCCTACTCTGGGAATTGTTTGTAAGTATGAAAAGTGGGTTAACATTTAACAATTTTTTAAAAATGTGTTCTTATTTATTACTGAATATTTCAATAATTACATTGATAATCATCAGATTTCTTCTCTTCATTGTCTTTTCTTAAAATTCATCTTTCTGCTATTCAATCGATTTTTAGCCCAATTTTTAGTACAGGTAATCCTCAACATACAACCATAATTGGGATCTGAATTTTAGTCATTAAGCAGTGTGACAATTACATCTCATACAAATCATCTCATGACTGGACCCGATTTTATGATCATTTTTACCATGGTCATTAAATAATCACACAGTTGTTAAGCAAATCAGCATGGTCGTTAAGGAAATCTGGCTTCCCCAATTGACTTTGCATGTGGGAAACTGGCTGAGAAAGTTGGCAAATCACGATTTCATCTCTGCAAGATGTTGCAAGGATTGAAAATGCGAGCTGATTTCCAAGTGCCCAAATTGCAATCATGTGTCTGCAGAGATGATATGACAGGTATAACTTCAGGATAGTTCATAACTCACTTTTTCCTACACTGTTGCAACTTCAAACCATCCTTTCAAAAATGATCATAAGTTGAGGGCTATCTGTAGGGAGATGACATTCACCTCCTAACCATTACATCCCCCCCCTTCCACACAGACACTTTTTTTCTTAAATGAGAGAGAAACTGATAGATGAGGACATGGACCACTTTTGTACCAGGAACTCACAAAATCCTGAAGATAGTCTTGAAAACATGGACCATAAGAATTTCTATGGAGATTCTCAATCATCCAGGTCATGGTTGTCCCAAAGGTGCTTTTTCAAGAGGCAACTGGACTTTCTGGCTTTGCTTCTCATCCAAGAAGCTTCTTCAGCACTGACTGGATGGTGGGAAATGGAAGGATTCCATTCCAATGAAACCCTTCCATTCCCCACCATCCAGTCAGTGCTGAAGAAGCTTCTTGGATGAGAAGCAAAACATCATAAAAGAAAAGCCAGAAAGTCCAGTTGCCTCTTGAAAAAGCACTTTTGGGACATGGACCATAAGACTTTCAAAATTGTGCTGTTTGTTCAAAGTGCAGACCTCTGCTCTTCAATACATCACCTTTTGGTTGAGCAAGCAGTGCACCAAGAAGATGAAGATTCCCTGTGCACTGTTGAAGATGGTGAACATGTATGCCATAACGTCTTCCAAAGGACCATGTTGAAAGAGGCCAAAACACCAAGTCACACCCAGGATGAACACATGGGCTATGGCCTTAAACATCAGTGATCTACAACAATAGCAAAAGGTTAACCATCCTACATTGTGACAAACTTCATATGGTCTAGAATACTATGAAAAAGAATTTTGAAGAAATGTTTTGCCAAATTGCCAGGATCATACTGAACTCCTATTTTCATACTTTATGATTGATCTTACCTGGTATTTCTGATTGAAGATATCTCTGAATTGAGAGTGGCCAGTTTTTCATGCAAAGTCTTCAGAATAAGACAGAAAAACACTAGGTTGACCTTGGGGGGGGGGAGGGAATAAGTCTTCTCAGATAAATATGATAACAACAACAAGAAGAAGAAATAGATCATGCCCTAAGAAGACTAGATGAGCTGAAGGAAAGAAAACTAAAGTTAGTTTGGGTTCCTATACTTTGCTAATTGATTGTTTTAAGTAAGTAGATGTTCACTTCTATTTTAATTCCAGATGAGAAGAAGAAATGAAAGTTTGCATCTTTATTCCAAATGTTCTTCCCCAGTTCAGCCTTTCTTTCCTTCCACTTCCCTAAAAGTTCTTCCTATAATATAAAAATTCCAGCCATTGGCAAAATATTGAAATTATATGAATTTGTGTAACAGATTTTCCTACATTATTTTAAATGTGGTTCCCAAGCAAAGTCTTTTACCACATTATTTGTGAAAGATACACCACCTTGTAAAGACTGAAAAACCAAAAAAGGATGATGTGTCTGATTTAGCTACATTGATATCAGGTTTTTATTTTCTTTTTCTTAGTCATTTTAGAAGAAATGTTATATAAGATTCTTTCATTTCTCTGCTGTTCAAAAGAGAGAGGCAATGCTCACTCACCACAATTATCACACAGACAGGTCCTGCAAAGCTCCAGATAAAATTTGGATTAAGCCAGCAGCTAAAGAAAAAGAAATATCATCAGGAGAAATTTAGACAGATATGCGAACAGTTCAATGTATTATACAGAGTTGTTCTCCCTGAGTTGTACTAGCAATTGTGCTCATGTAGTTTACATCTTGGTGGCACCTGGCTGAGGGAAGCAGCTTTTAACCATATACTAAGACTTACTGATAAAGAGTTCCAAAGGCTCCAGGTTTAATTGCTGCAGAAATAGCTATAATCAGGACAGGACACCCATAACCAATGAGGTACATAGATATCTTCATATATTTGCTGGCCCCGCTGTAATTTGCAACTTTCAAGTTTCTGGCAATGAGGTAGAGATTGACAGCTTCCAAGAACATCCAGACAAAACAGGCCAAAAAAAGATACTTCAGAATTCCAGCTATGATTGAACACAGGATCTGAATCAAAAATAAAATGTTATTCCTTTATCAGCATCTGATTCTTGAATTGTTGGTTTTGAAAGAAAATCAAGAAAGGGCTATGAAAAAGAGAGAAATAGAACAAACTATATCTCTCCGACCCTCATGTTTCCAGCAATAGAGCTACAGGAAAAATATGTGCCAAGTAACCTTTCTTTCATTTCATATATGGAAATATTATAAAACTAATTTAAAATGTTAAAAGAATTGGGCTTGCAAATAAAACTGATTCAAATCACTTGATCTAAAGAAAAAAGAAGACTAATTTAAACTGAGTAGGAAGCATACTAAGATGGGGTTCTCTCTCCACTGAGCAGAGCATCACATATTCTTCTGAAATACCTTGTTGCCTGTTTTATCTATTCCAAATATGAAGAAGAGGTCTGCAAAAAACAGGCAGGAGCTCAGTTGTAGGTGGATGAAGGTGCTGCTGTTGTGGCTGGAGCGGCAGAAGAGGAATGTGACAATACACAGGAAGAGACAGATGACTGAGATGGACAACCCAAGATAGCTAATAATGGTGAGAATCAGATCTCCCTGTAAACAGAAGACAGTTGTTCTCAAAATCATATGAGCCACCTTTTGATAACGAAGATGTGTTTACACTTCATCAAGACCATAGATCTGACTTACATATAAAAGCTATTCTATTGCCTGACTGCTTTTGTTGTATTGTGATTGGAAATGAAGTGTCAAGATCTTTAAATCTTGAGGATTACAAGCATTCCGTAGTTTATTTTTCTGTACTGTATGTATGAGGAATGGCTATAAATAATTATGGAAAACTTTTCAGCATGTTGAGTAAAGAAATTCTATTCTATCCCAGCTTTAATGATAAAAATTATCTTCCTTGACAAGAGCAGGACACAAGAGATATTTGAATAAGTGAGAAAAAAATAATATGCTGTTTACCATGATAAGTTCTGAGATGTTTTCAAAAGTTACATACTTGTTTGTGAGTTGTGGCCATCAGTACAGCAAAACTGGACAGATGTTGACAGCTGCATTCTGTATGGGTGCTGTTAGAAAAGAGCTGTTGGCAACCATGATCGGAGAAGGCACCAGAAATCCAGTTGACACAGAGAACCTTTTCCTGGGCAACTTTTTTCTGCAAGAGGGAAGTAATGTTGATGGGAGGTAGGGAGAAAATCTCCCTATTTACTTTACACTCCACTTCAGAGTTATTGAATATTAATAAGGAAGCAAGTGTAAGACGAGCAAAAAGAACAATGTATACATCATAGACCTTGTAGGTGACACTGTAATCTATGGTGGCAAAAAATCAAAAAGATTCTGATAGCACTTTTTCCAATAACAAATATTATTAAAAGACATATGCTTTAATGAGCTGCAGTCCACAGAATCATGATTTTTTCAAATAAAAGGTGCTATCCAGTGGTAAAATCCTACCAGCTCACTCCAATTCGTGTGAACCGGTAGTGATAAAAGCTACTGGAAAAAGCTACCGGTTGGTCTGAACTGATATTTCCAACAATCAGCTGTGCCAGTGGTGAAATGTAAAATTTGTTACTACCGGTTCTGTGGGCGTGGCTTGGTGGGTGGGGATAATGGGACTGGGTGGGCGTGGCCAACTTTTTTAAAAAAAACTTTTAAAAGCATTTTTTCTATAATCTCTTCGGCCGAAGAGTTTGTAAAAAAAAATGCTTTTAAAAGCCTCTGACAATCTCAGCTGAGTTGCCTGATCGTCAGAGGCTTTTTTTCCTTTTAAAAACGTTTTTTCTATAACCTCTTCGGCTGAAGAGCTTGTAGAAAAAATGCTTTTAAAAGCCTCTGACGATCCCAACTGAGCAGCGTGATCATCAGAGGCTTTTTTTTTCTTTTAGAAGCTTTTTTTCGGCCAAAGAGATTGTTACGATATTTTCAGGATCAGACTCAATAAATAAGTTGAGAATTATAAATTCAAATAAATCACTATTTATTTACATAAGGCATTCTATATTCACTGAATATTCACAGATAGAAGCCCAAAATGGACGTATGCGGCTCCTTATATATACAATGGGTGGAGCTAGATATGGGAGTGGTGAAATATGAATACATTAAGAGGTGAAGAATAAGTTAACCCCTGATACCCTGTTCATGTACTATTTACATAATGGAGAATAAGGCATTTACTTGTGACAGAGATTGTAAAAAAAATGCTTTTAAAAATGCTTTTTAAAAAGCCTCTGATGATTGCGTGGCTCAGCTGGGTATGGGGGAGGGGCAGGGATTTTTACTACCGGTTCTCCGAACCACCCGCTGCCATTGCTACCGGATTGGGCGATCCGGTCCGAACCTGGAGCATTTCACCCATGAGCTGTGCTGTGCGATTTATATTTGCTAGAAAGAAGGAAATCCTGCTTTCTAGCAAATCTAAATGGCGCGGTACAGCTGTTCCCCCCCCTCACTGTTCTACTTACCTTAAGTGTCCTTTTTCCATGTGAAGCATGCGTTTGGTGCGCACTGCACATGCATGCGCAGTGTATTTGGTGTGCACCGTGCATGCACGGGCAGTGAACCGGTGGCAAACCACAGAGGATTTTACCAGTGGTGCTATCAGTCTTGTCTTGAATGACAATAAGATCTACTGAAGGCATTTATTCAACTTTACATTTTCCTCAATATTCTGATTTTTTTCTTATTTTATATTCATAAGATGGATAGAAAAAGAGGATTGGTTTCCTCTTCATTTACATACCTTCATTTACAAGACTTCATTTACATACCTTGAGATGCTCAAAGGTGACATTGACTGGGGTAGAAATATTTGTTTCATAGTTGCTGGTGGAAATGCTTACTAGCTTAGAGTTCATAGTATAAACACCTGTCAGTGTTTCATTACCCAGGAATGTTCCATTCTGCAGTAAAGTCTCTTTTAGGAGTGATTCCAGCCCAACATATGATATAAAAGCCACAGCAATTGAACCTGCAAGTGGCAGAAGGAAGATCAGAGAGCAAGATAACATCAAATAAAGAGTGTGTATTTTCCCCAACCTGGCAAAATCTTGATAATGAAAGGATCAATGTAGGACCATATATTTACTTCCTGGTAAAATAGGTGCTACCAACTACTTTCTTGCCCTTAACTCCACCTTTTCTAATTTAGCATTTTACAGATTTTGGATTGAAATTTCCCTAATCCAAACCAGAGTGATGAAAGTTTCTGCAGGTTCAAGAATCCTGAGGTGCAGCTGACAGAGAGGGAGCAATAAAGCAGATTGTAAAAGTAGTTTGGGATCTACTCTGTAGAAAAATCAAGCAAGCTATGAGCAATACCTGTGATTGTGGCAGATTCTGCCAATGCTATTGGGTGGATGGCCATTTGATCTCCTTTAGCTTTTAACTTGAGTGCTTCATTGTTTTCTAAGGATTCTAGACTGATGAGAGTTGTTTGGATCCCTGGAATGACAAAGAAATGCTGAATGGATCTAACGAATGCAGGTCATTTTTGTTTTAACCAGGAGCTGATAACAAATAAGAACCACATATCATAATATAGTGCAGGGGCAGTGGTGGGTTGCTCCTGGTTCGGACCGGATCGCAAGAACCGGTAGTAAAACCGGTGGGAGGCCCTGCCCACCACCCCGGATGTCGTCATCAGCGATCTGCACATGCGCATGCGCAGAAGAAAGACATGCACACGAGCAAAGCGAGTGCGTGCGCACGATCCCATTGCAAACCAGTGGTAAAGGTAAGTAGAACCCACCCCTGTCCAGGGGTGTCAAACTCAAGGCATGGGGGCCATGGGGTGCTTAGATCTGGCCTGCGGAACTGTCCTGGAAACAGAAAAGGACTGGCGTGCGGTATCTCTGCCAGTGAAAACAGAGCTCAGGAGGGCCGCTTGAGACCCTCCCGAGCTCTGTTTTCCCTGGCAGAGGGTTGCAGGAGGCCATAACAGCTGAAAATGAAGCTCAGGAGCCCGTTTTCACTGGCAGAGCACTCAGGCCCTACAGGTACCCCCAACAGGAGTGACGTCGAGCTGACCACACCCACCCTGCCCCCCCAAAGTCAGATACAACCCTGATGTGGCCCTCAATGAAATTAAGTTTGACACCCCTGATATAATGCAACTCCACCTCCTCTTTTGTTATTATTTTATTAACCACTTTATGTTTTCTAACCTATCTTTAATCAGTAAAAACCTTTAATATTTCATAGAAAGATGGGATACAAATTTAATAAATAAAATGAATAAATTGAAAATAGCTCTGATTACTAATATCCAGACTAATGAAGTCAGAATTATACCTTGCTTATGTAAAGCACAATAGGAAGATATGCTAACGGCTGGTGAATGAAAGGAGACTCAGAACAAAAAAAAAAAATCACTTATAAAACATACAGTAAAAATAGAGGCCTTTCTTTTTTTCCTTCTTCAAATTGTACTATTATCTAAGTAGTGGGGTTCTTACCCATGGAGTTTTGATCCACAGTTTGTGATTTGTTTTCTTCAAAAGTAATTAATAGGGCAACTGAGCTTATTCCTTCCATTAAGAAGGGCAAATTTTGTACAAAATTTTTCTTTTCTTCAATATCCCAGTGGATTGAACGGCTGTCAGAAACGTTTTCAAAGGAATTTATCAAGCCCTGAGGTATTACAAAAAGCAAATAGATCGCTAAACCATGCAAATCTCACTTATTTATCTATTTTATTTAAAACAGTTACAGTACTGCCAATCTTGAACTAAATTGTGAGTGTCTCACAATTCTCAAATAAAATAATATGTATCTACAACAAAACACAAACATTGAAACCCAAAAGACCTGGTGCCACAGCTAAATAATTCAATGCAATCCACAACACACTCTTGTCATGCGAATCTCATCCTATACCAACATATGGGGAGAGCCTGTTCTTAACTACTTTTTGGAAGGTTGCAAATGTGGGGTCTGGCCAGACTTCAGGAAGAAGCAGGTTCCATAAGGCAGGGGCTGTCACAGAAAAGACATACTTCCTAGGTCTTATAAGTAGCAACATTTAAGAAAATGTTAAATGTCAAATCCAATTAATGGGGCAGATATCCTTAGGGGGAGGTGGTCCCACAAATAATCTGGTCCAATAGCCATTTAGACTTTTAAATGTTTTATCCAAATATTTGTATTAATCTCTTCTGAGAATAATGCAGAAAACACTTCATTGGTTCATACACTATTCATAACCAAAAGATGGTTTGAATGACTGCAGCCATTATCGCTCATTCCTGAAATAAAAATTGACAAACCTTGGAGCTAAGCCTATGTTTATGTTTCACAGTGACGTAAATACCTCACCTGTTCATTTTTTTAAAAAATGCGGAGGGGGGGAAATTACTCAAAAAGAGCCTTGGTAGCACAGCGGACTAATGCACTGTTATTAACATCTGCTGCTTGCAATTACTGCAAGTTCAAATCCCACCAGGCTCAAGGTTGACTCAGCCTTCCATCCTTTCTAAGGTAGGTGAAATGAGGACCCAGATTGTGGGGGCAATAAGCTGACTTTGTATAAATATACAAAAGTATGAAGGCTATTGCTTAACGCATTGTAAGCTGCCCTGAGTCTCCGGAGAAGGACGGCATATAAATTAAAGCAAACCCCCCCCCCCAAAACCCTCAATTGTCACAGTTGGTTTTAAAAAGAAAACTATTTTATTCTCTTTCCCTGTGTTTTTTAATTTTCATTACGTACTGGATCATTGGCTCAATCTCTTCTCAATGCTTTTTATTTTTTTTGTTGTGGATTTCTTATTGTAGATAATCAACTTTATGAATTTTATTTGCTCTAGTATTTCTTTTAATTATAAACAAAAAATAGCCCTGAGACATATTTAGGACTAATAAAGTTATTAAGCATTTTATCAGAAATTATTACAAAACCTTATATTACATATCATCTCTTAATATTAAAGGTGACATAAGTGGGTGTTGATGCAAAGACTAACATGATTCCCTAATGGAAATATAGTCATCGATGTTGGATTATTAGTTATACAATTCTAGTTAGAAAACTGTATTAAACTTTACTGGATTATAACAAGATTAAATAATATTGCTATTTAATTTCCTCCACATATAGAAAAATACCTCCATTAGAATCATTTTCCCTTTCCTTCTCTTATGTTTATAATGGTTTTCAGATATTGGAACATTGCTACAAATTATTCTGAAGCATCATTTGAAAAGCTTATTTAAGTGCCCAATTTGCCACCTGCCCATTTTTCATTAATACACACAATAGGAAACTACATAGGCTTGCTTCTCAGGAAAAAGAAATTGTTCTCAACTATGAACTGTTCAGTTCTTAATAAATCTCACTTTCAAGGAGTTTTCAGGATATGTGTCCTTTTCACAGAGGGATGTCAAGCCTTTGAAGAAAAGTTTCATCTCAGAGCAATATGCATTGTTTGTCTAAAAGAAAAGAAAAGGATGATATGCTCTTCTCAAAGCTCAGCTGGCAAGTGGACAAAGAAGCTTCCCCCCACCCCAGCTACACACTTTTTAAAAAAGTGGGTAGTCTATGCTGTCATAAATTGGAAACATAGCCTGGAGAGACTTCATAGCCACAAGGAGGCTTATATACTAATGAATGCCCATTCTTGAGCCATTCCTAGAATGAATTCAAAGAGATCAGTGCTATTATCTCCACCTTCTATTCAGTCCTTGCAAAGTCCTGCTCAGGACGCAGGCTCTATCGACCTGGATCTTTGTCAGCTTCTTATTAAGCCATACTCTCTTTGTTAGTCTGGAAAATGTAGTGGCCGCTTTACCAATACGTTTATTTTTTATTAAACACAATTATTAAACACAATTATTAAATTATTGTGTTTATTAAACACAATTAGAATTCATAAATAAGTATGCTTACTCAGGGGCTTTGGCCTTTTTAGCATACATTTAGCCCATAAACTGAAAAATCCACTAATTAATCATTTAGCTCTTTTTTTCCTCCTCGGTTTCAGTTTCTATTGTTTTCATAATTCAGTTAACCATGTATTTTCTCCTGCTTTTTAAAATAAATTTCCAGCAAATCCCAGAAACTTTTCACAGCATATAAATTTCATTTAGAATCATTCTGAGAGTGAGATGGGCAGTACCTAACTTAGATCAAGATAGATAGATGATAGATGATTATATAGGAGGGAGGGAGGGAGGGAGGGAGAGAGAGAGAGAGAGAGAGAGGGAGGGAGGGAGGGAGGGAGAGATGAAGTCTCCAAGTTTTAGCCTTTAGCCTCTCCTGGAAGAGTTGAGAAAACTATCTAAGTCTTTATATCACAAAATGTAATAATTCTCCTTAAATTAAAAATTCAGTTTCATTTCTTCCTTCAAAAAAAAGGTATTCTCTCTAGATGTTTTCAAGGTTCCAAATCGTAGCAATTAACAAATTAATAATAAAGAACAATTAAAACACAATATACTAATGCAATACTCCATATTTTACTTCAGCTACTTTCAGTCCTTTATCCTGTATTCCCAGTACTATACATTTCAGTCACAAAATTAACCCATATTGGTTTCCTTACTTGTCTCCATTCTTCTTCACACATATTTAAATTGATATTTTCCCTCACTAAATCTTGGCAGTAAAGGCGAATTTCTATGAAAGGAAACAGAAAAATTTAAGTACAATGCAAAATTGTCTGCTTAAAAAGTATAAAATATTTTAATGGCAGATAATGCTATACAGGTAGGTATATTGGGTTGAATAATAATAGTAATTGAATCAAGATTCAGTGACTTTGAATTTGGGGTTCATTATTTCTCAGAGCAGTGGATTAAGCCTTGCCATTTTGTGGTGCAAGCCATAAAATATGCTCTGCTCAATTAATCTTTTTTTAATTTTCACAGAAAACATACGAAAAAGAAAAACATCTTTCAATGTGTATGAGTCAGCTTCTAAACTTGTCACCAATGCACAACACATTGCATATTGCACCCCATCTCCATATTTCATGTCGCTCCTGGCCATTAAATGTTATCCATGAAAACATGGATTTCATTTCAGAATTCAGTTCGTCATTGTTAACCTGTACTTCTTATTTCATCAAAGCTGTTTTATTACTGTTTTAAAATGGAATTCTAAATATGTATTTCAGGGTTTAGGAAGGAACAGTCATTTTGTAGTTGTTGAGACATTCACGTGGGCATAATTAACCTGTGGGTAGTAGTAAGCACCACAGAGTTCACAAGAGTGTTATATCAAGCACTATCAGAGGCATCTAGTTGGCCATTGTGAGAAACAAAATGCTGAACAACCCATAATGGAATATTGTCATTGAACAAGACATTGGAGATGGCTGAAAATCACCATTCTTTTCTTTGCATTCAATTAATCTCCAGACTATGCAGTTGAAATGAGATGAGGAATAATAATACTTACTCTTAGTAATAGTGACATTTGACATGGGAGAATCAGTTGGAGGAGTGAAAGAAGCATCTGTACCATTGTATTCTTCATGATCGCTGCTACAACAGCAACAACTTATACTCATCATGATTGAATCACTAAATTCTGAAAACATTAACAGGATGTTTTTGATGAAAAAAATATTCAAATCAAACATTATTGTGCCCTTCCTGCTTTCCATCAGAACCATTCAGCATTAACATTCACCTGCCCCAAGTATTTTAGAAATATACATAGACAAAGAGGGGGGGAAATTATACTATATACAGTATTTATCATTTATCTGCTGTACAGCTGTGGTACAAAGAATATAGTGGCTGGACACTATCAAAATTGATACCAGACAGAGCATAGAACAACTCAAAGAAATAGTGCAAGATTGGAAGCTGTGGAGATACCTGGCTCATAGTGTGGTTCATAGTTGTACTCTACTGAATCGGTAATATAACCATGTGGTTTGAAGTGCGCTATCTTCAAAGTGCACATCTTCAAAGTGTCTGCAAGGCAAGACAAGAGAAAAGTGACAAAATGTGTATTGCAATATCATAATGCCAGCTTTGTCCCTGACATACTGGCTTCATTTGCCACGGGTACAAAAGAGTCATGATGACACCACATATTATCTCATTTTGCATTGCTTGGTTAGAACATCTGTGTCAGTCATGTGTAGCAAAGGAAGCAGGTGACCATCATTACTGACTATTAAATGAGAGGACAACCAGTAAAATCAGGCATTGGTAGCATTGGATGGAGGAGGAAGTAGAATCAGAACTGAAATGCTGCTTAGTCTATCCCCAAAGAATGATATGTGCCAAATGACTTCACTTGGATTCAGAAATGGAAGATGGATATGGCTTATAGGTTGCCTACTTTGACTTGTGGCTGCATAATATTTACTAATAAGAGATTTTAGATTTAGATACAGATTTGACTGTCTATATATGTATGGAATAAAATGACTATATTAGTAATACATACCATGCTACTAAATTTCTCCAACTGAACTGAATATGGTAAATCCATTTCTAAATAAAGAATTTTAAGTATTGCAGCAAATGAGGGTGGGTTAAACAATGATGTTAGTTAATGTTTGTACAATTTTGACAAAGGTCTTTAAAGTAAGTCTTATAGGTAAACACTATAATGGAAACGGAAGTTCATTGCAAAAAAGACACAGATGATCTGACCTTTACAACATAGCTCAGTCAGTATTTAATAGCACCCCTTTATTCTATTTCTCAGAAAATAATGTAAATTCTACCTTTTTCATCTGCACAGACTATTGCAAATCCAATACATAGAAGAAATGAAACATTAAATTTATAGTATATTGGATGTCTTTATAATACAAGGCAGGCTCTCTAGCTTTTTTGTATTTATGCCCAATGGCTTTTCCATAAATTTGATTTGCAATTCCATTTTTTCATGACTTAATTAAAACATTAATTGTCCTTGTTACAATATCTACTACCATATTTGGACTAGAAATAGGATTGTTGTAATCTTAAGAAAAATGATTAATGGAGTAGATTAATATGTCAGAATGAAAAGACTCTACACCCCAAGTCATATCAGCACTGTAATAAAATATACTGATTTTTTATATACATACCGTAGTAAATTTGCCTTTTAAAAATTAGAGGGTTTTAAACAATAGACACAAAGGCTGTGACAAAATCCTCCAGTTTGTCATACAATTCATTGTAATTCTAGGGATCTTGCAAAATATTCTAAAACACATTAATTGCTGAGACCTGAATGCACACATTGGCTGCATCTGATAATCTCAATCCAAAATTGAATGTTGACAGAACCTGATCTTTCATTTAAGAGTTTAGAATCAATTCAAGTCAGAACAGCTGTTATTGTAAACTTGCATAGGGTAATAATGCAAAAATAACTGAGTCACCCATTATTCTGATCTGATTCTCAAGTATAAAGCTGGACTACCATATTTTATACATCAAAAGTGACCAATAAAACAAATGATTACAATTTTACTTAGTCATAGCAACTCTTGAGAACTTTAAAGATAATTGGCTTCTCCCTTCTGTCTCCCTATACGTTTTCCTTTTTATCCTTCTTTCTATATTCTTCAACAAAGAGAATAGATTTCCTAGGAGTCATTTAACTCTGCAGCAGAAGCCTTATGATCATGGTCTACCAACACAAATGCTTTGTCTTTCTAAGAGCATCTTATCCACTTTGGTAGCAATTCTCAAAGATCTGAGGCAGAAAATCATTCTGCCATTTGTGCCTTTTAACTAGGTAGGGGATGGGATTTTCTAGCTGTGATATATTTCTTCTACCACCCAAGCTATTGTTTCTCACTGTCCTTCAGTTTGTTAACCAGGGAATTGCCTACTCACCAAGAATAAGGAAACTGAAAAAGATCCTCATCATCCTCTTGAATTAGTGAACAAATGACTTGCTTTATGCCAATCACCCAGAGTTACTGCATAAAGGAACTATAAAGTGCTAGGAACACAATCTTTTGGTAATGTACACTTCCTAAAATCAAAGGAGGAGGAGTACCATTGACCAAAGGAAGTAGCTTTCTTATTCAGCAGAATGTGTTATCCACAGACATTGCAAATTATACAGCTTTAACTAAATCCAGAATTGTGCCTGCTATGTATGAGAGTCACTTAAAGATTTAAAAAAAGAAAAAGAAAATACCCCAGTATGTTCCTAATGTCTTCCCTAACAGGATATATTACAAAAAAAAAAAAAAAAAAGAACAGAAAACATAAAACAAACAAACAAATGGCTTCCTATTTTCTTCTCAGCAGTTATACATACAATTCTATTCAATCACCTCTAAGATTACTTTATAATTCCGTTCTTTCTATAGCCTATTATTCTACTCATCAAACATATAAGTCTCAAAATCATTTCCTCTTTCATACAAAAAAAATCCATAAGCAGCTTCCAGTCATTTATGAACATCAATAGTAACCTTTTACTAATCAAAGAAGTCACTTGGGCCATCTCAGCAAGTTCACCAATCATGGGAATCTTTCCATCTTTGTGCATATAGTAATCTCTCCGCAGTAGTCATACACTGAAATAATCTTCTGTGACTCTTTTCTGTTTATCCACCAGTCCTAAAAAGAAAAGTTCTGGATTCAGTATGATATTAATCTTTAAAATAAGTTTTACTTTTAAGAAAGTAAGAATTTATCAGATTTCTAAACTGTCCAAACACTAAGTTACAGGTTCCAAGAGTCAGCCTTTTTCATTTTTGTAAATATAAGTTACTCATCCCATAGTTTTCTATGAAGTCATTTTTGGCATAGATTTTTTTAAAAAATACAACTCCCCAAGAATCTCTATAGAAAAGATTAACCAGAATGTGTGCAGAATACAGATAGTCCTCAACTTACGACCACAATTGAGCCCAAAATTTCTGTTGGTAAAGTGAGACATCTATTAAGTGAGTTTTACCCCATTTTATGACCTTTCCTGCCACAGTTGTTTGGTGAATCACTGCAGATGTTCAGTTAGTAACATGGTTGTTAAGTGAATCTGGTTTCTCCATTGACTTTGCTTGTCAGAAGGTCACAAAAAGTTGATTACATGGCCCCAATACACTGCAACGGATCATAAGACATGAGTCAGTTGCCAAGCATCTGAATTTTGATCACGCAAACATGGGGATGCTGCAACGGTCGTAAGTGTGGGAAATGATCCTAAGATCCTTTTTAAAGTGCTGTTGTACCTTTGAACGGGCACTAAAAGAACTGTTGTAAGTTAAGGACTATCTAATAGCTACAGTTATGTATACAGCTATACAGAAATATAGCTGTACTGAATAATCTATAGAGCATTAATTGCTACTTAGAGAATCTTATAAACAACAAAAAAAAAGATTCTTAAGAGTAAGGTTTATAAGACAATTATAGGTCTGTCCATGTTACCCCTTATTGTTTAGGTATATTTCTTGGCTTACATGCATGTAACATCAAGACACAAATGTATGCAAAAATAACGATCACCTTTAAAATTAAAAATTAAAAAATTCCTTGGTTTTAGGCCTCTTGCAATAATACAGAAAGTTGTCAAATAAAGCCTAGCTTAATAGCTGTTATTAATAACAATAGCAATAGCATTTAGAATTATATATCACTTCACAGTGCTTTACAGCCCTCTCTAAGCAGTTTACAGAGTCAGCATATTGCCCCCAACAATCTGGGTCCTTAGTTTAACGACCTCAGAAGGATAGAAGGCTGAGTCAACCTTGGGTCAGTGAGGATTGAACTGCTGGCAGTCGGCAGAATTAGCCTGAAATACTGCATTCTAACCCCTGTGCCACCATGTTGTCCTATGCTAACTTGTTTTTCCAAATGCTTTTTTTAAAAAACCCCATAGGAATATCATTTTACCATTTTCTCAGTTTCCTGAGCAAAAGATTTCAACTCCTGCTCTACTCAGTTTTACAGCATACTCTCTTTATGCTGTAGAACTGTCTAAGGGCAATATAAGCACCAACTCAGTTGAATGGCTGTTTCTTTCATTGTAAAACAGCCAATGAATTGATGAGAGAAGCCTGTAACAAACTGAAGAGCATAGTCTAAGTGACATAATAGTGTTCCCTGAAGAAATCTGGAAAATTTGGTTATAATTACAGTAACAGACCAGCAGGATTAATTGAAAGTGTTTAATTTTCCATCAATAAACAATACAGTATTTATTAACATTACATTGGCCTCTAGTGGTCAAAGTCCATATCTGAAGATGTATTGAATTGAAGAAATAGGGATTAGAAAAAGGATCTCATAGCTGAGAGCCTTGCAAATGAGAAATTTTACAAAAGGCTTTAACAGATTGTCAATTAATATAGGAATTAAGCATTATCATGGGCATATCATAGCCATTTATATCACTCTTAATGGGAGGGGAGTTGCTTATTCCCTCTGAAAGGGTTTGCAATCTAGGCATCCTCCTGGATTCATGGCTGTCCTTAGTGGACCATCTGACGGCCATGACCAGGGGGGCTTTTGCACAGGTTCACCTGGTGCGCCAGTTACCTAGACAGGGATGCCCTCCGTACAGTTACCCAAGCTCTCGTTATCTCTCGTTTGGACTACTGCAATGCCCTCTACATGGGGCTGCCCTTGGGGTGTACCCGGAGGCTCCAGCTGGTCCAGAATGCGGCCGTGCGGGTTGTTACGGGAGCTTCCCGTTACTCCCGTGTTACACCTCTCCTGCGTGAGCTGCACTGGTTACCGATGGTCTTTCGGATCCGCTTCAAGGTGTTGGTACTTACCTATAAAGCCCTACATGGCATGGGCCCGGGGTACCTGCAGGACCACCTTCTGCCTGCCTCCCACCGCCCTGTGCGCTCACATAGGACTGCCCTCCTCCGGGTGCCATCGGCCACAATGTCGGCTGGTGGCGCCCAGGATGAGGGTGTTCTCTGTGGGCGCACCGACCCTCTGGAATGGCAACATTTAGTATCCTGCCAATATTCCATACCTGGTTGTACTCTCTTACTTTCTCCATTGGAACCCCCAGTTCTGATTGAAGTCAGCCTGTATGTAGTCCAGGAAACCAACATATTTCTGACACATGTCTTGAGACCCTGACATGGAAAGCATATATCTTCCCTTGCCTGAAGGAGAAATTACAAAGATAGCAACTAGGTGGATGTTGGTCAATAGTCTGATCCATTTGAGCGTTGATTCCTCCGATTTGATTTTCAAAACTTTACTCTAGACGCTCTAGACTAAGGCTGCAGCCACCATCACTACTGCTGTCTGGAAAGCATGTCAACAAGCCCAGAGCTGAAAGATTATGTGAGACCTCAGTTTAAGTCCATCTCTCTTTGGTGTGTGTGTGTGAGAGAGAGATGGGTGGGGGGGAGTGATTTGGCTCTCCATCATCCTACTCTGTTTCTTTGCTTCAAGAGGTTATTTATTAAAGGTCCTCTTGATCCTACTCTGTATGTGAAATTCAGCACTGTTTATTTGTTCATGGTGGTTGTCCAAAGTGAGCCCTTAGTTATATTACAGTTATGTTGTTACCTTTAGAAAAACTCGAGTTTTGCATTTTTGTAATTTAGAGATCAGGTCTGCAATGTTTCACTAATTTATTCTTATGTTCTTCTGCATTGGTAGGCTATGGATACATGTGATTAGAAAATCCCAGAAAATCAGAAGGACAGATGGCTATGTGTTGCAGTGGTGGGTTGCCCCCAGTTCGGACCGGTTCTATAAAACCAGTAGTAAAACTGGAGGGAGACTCCACCCACCAACCCCGACATCATCAGAATGCTTCTGCGCATGCGCAAAGGCTTCTGTGCATGCACAGAAGATTGCACGCACGTGCAAGCAAAGCAAACGTGTGTGCGCGGCCCCATTGCAAACCGGTAGTAAAGGTGAGTAGAACCCACCCCTGATGTGTCGCCACCATTTCCAGATATATCTGCCTTGCAGATTTATTTATGATGTGTTTGGGTAAAGGAAGCATTCTGTGGCAGATGCATAGGTGAATTTATCTGGATAACAAATATTTCTATTGACCTTTTAAGAGGAAGTCTCTATAGATAAGACGTTTCTCTGGATCAGTATAACGAAGTTGAAGTGTGGATATCACTATCCTAAGTACCTTATTTTTTTCACAGTTGTTCATTGAATTTGATCATGCTTTGTCTACTTCTACAATTCTATAATCAGCAAAACAGCTTAAATTCAAACATAATGCAATAGTAAGGTGGACACTATATTTGCCATTCCCTACTTTTAAAAATATTCACTGAGATTTTAGTGTTAGGCTGACCTTTGTGTATTTGCTTTCAGTATATACTTGACATACAGCCAGGCATTTATTTTATTGTTGTTATTGTTTTTAAAGTCAGTTGTATATTTTTGTAATTTAGAGGTGAGTTAAATAGCTTGAATGCATCACATAGCATTGCATATTTCTAACCAAAATTGAAGTATATAATTATTATTGTTGTTATTATTGCAACTGGACATTTTAAGAAAAATGTATCTGTAACTATTTAGCTATAATCTATCTATCTATGAATAATGGTAGGCTGCTAATCATTTAAATCTAAATTCTAAATATACATCTGTTATCTAGTTAACTTCTGAGAGTTCTGCCATCTTGTATGGGAAAGATTCCCAGAAGATTGAAATAAAAATGAGGTGATATATAAAGGAGAACCTTTATCATTGTAAACAGCAGTGAAAGAAGACACCACAGAAGCAAACCACAAATTCCAGTGTACTTTTTCCTATGAGAAAATTTTATACCCGTGGCTATTTATTTCTAGAGGTGTTTGTTTCAGATTTTTGCTATTTTTCACTGTACATCCAGATTAGAAATATTCCTTTAAAGAGAAATATATTAATTTTGTTCCTTCCATCTTAATTCATCTCCTAAAGACAGCTCAGATGGCTACTGGGCATGTAATGATTGTCTGAAAGTCTATCATCAACAGTCTGGCTGCCTATCAACTTCTGATCAACTGCAGCCACCATAATTACCAAATTTATTTATGTTTCCAGCCACAGGAGGAGACAGTGTGTGATTTATAAAAGCACTTGGAGTGGTGTGCATATAGCTCTATCTTACCATCTTCACAGTTCTCTGTGGACTGGGAAGAATCAAAATTTTGAAGAATCTGTCAAACACTGTGGTTATTTAAATTGGTCACAAGTAAGAATAGACAGCGCTAAAGCACAGTAAGTATTCACTGAAGTCAAATAAATCATGATG